CATTCCCAGAATGCAGCTGCTACTCCCAGGGACTGGCAGTCCACTCTGGGGGCTGTCATTCCAGTCCCAGAGTAGTCTATCTAGGCCCAGAGACCTTAAAGGAAAATGGAAGATTTCTATTCACTTACCGTGAAGCTTCTCTCACGGTGGTCTGGGAGTGGGGCAGTCCTTACTCTTGGGAATAGGCTCCCCCTCTGGAACAGGGTCGGTTTCCTCAGATCAATCCAGGAAGGAGAGGGGCCTGTTTTGACCATGTAGTAACCCTTTAGGAATCTCTTAACGTGTGGATGGCAATTGAAGGGATTTCCCTTCCTAGCCCCAATGACTGTAGCTGGATCTCCACCCATCTGACCAGGTCGCTCACTTCTGTGTATAAGGTCCAAAATCTGGTTCCTTATACTTTTGTTGTCATATTGTCTGTCTGGACTAGAAGCTGATGACCTGTTAGTACCTTGTAGAATTCCAAGAGCCCCAGCCTGGTGGCTCTGAGCTCTAAAAATTTTACACTCAGTGAGATCCCTTCCTGAGACCAAACCCCTTGTGTCATTGCCCCTTGAGAGTGGGTTCTCCACCCTGGCAGACTTGCGTCTGTGGTCATCACCATCCTATCTAGATTTCAGACCGGGGATCCCCATTGGAAACAAAAAGGGTTCCAGCCACCACTGCACTGATGCTGAAGTTGTTTTGGCAACTGTACCAGCTTGTAGCCCTAACTGGCAACCACATCCTGGTAAGGTAAGGGAAAATGTCTGTAGAGGTCCGGCATGGAACCTTGACCATTGAAGCACTTCATGGCTTGACACCACCACGCTCAGTAGCTTGGCCAGTACCATACCCTCTATCTTGCATTTTTTCAGCCTATCTATGGTCAGAAGTTGTATGTTGTATTATCTCTCCCAAGTTCCTATCTGCACCCACAGGTGTACCCATGATTGAGAGGTGTTTAGAGTGCCCTTCTCCATGTTGACCACGAAGGCATGGTCCTTACAAAAAACACACCACCACCCTCTCTGATGCTCCCTCGCTCTGCTGGTAAGAAGGGGCCTTGACAAGGATGTCATCTAGAGATGGTAACAGCAACACTCCCTGAAGTCTCGGATATGATACAATGGCCACCATAAACTTGTTGAACCTTCTTGGGAATGACTTCAGGCAGAAAGGCAACACTGGTACTGAAGTGCTTCGCATCATGCGCAAAGCGTAGGGACCTGCAGTGAGCCTCTTGAATTGGGATGTGTAAATGGTCCTCCTATAGATTGATGGATGCCAGGAAATCCTTTGCCTGAACATCTGCCAGAATGGAGTTCAGACTTTTCATCCTGAATGTTCTAGTCCTGATGCAATTGTTTAGCCATTTCAGGTCCAAGATTTTCCTGGCATCTTTATTCTTCTTTGGCTCTGGGCATGTTATCCTTTTGGAGTCACAACAGGACTAAGTTTTTTGTTTGTGTTGTTTTGTTTTTTGAACATAGAACACATCTTTATTTTCAATAAGATATCTGTCAAGTCCCTCTCCAAAAAGGTTTATGCCCTGAAGGGAACTGTTTTAGCTTGTGCTGCAGAGTCCCCATCCCAATTCTGAGCCACATGTTCCTTCTGGCTGCTACACTGCATGCCATGGCTCTAGCTAACTACTGCAGGATGTCCAGTGAAGTCCCTGCCACAATCACTGTTGCTACGGCAACCTTCTTAAGTTTGTCTTTAAGTTCTTGTGGGACTCTACTATCAGCTGAGGCTGGTCTCGATGCCCAAGAATGAACCACCCTGGCAAGCACCGAGCCTGCTGTTGACATCCTGATGGAGCAGGCTGAGACTTCGAAGTCTTTGCATAAGGCTTGCTGAAATCCCCTATCGCTGGGTCTTAGGCAACCTATCTGCATCCATAGGGAGAACTGAGTTGGAGGTCAAGTTAGACCCAGGTTCGTCCACCATTGGCACCTTGAGTCTCTTGGTAGCCTCTGGTATCAGGGAATAAAGCTTGGAAGGGAGGATCTGACGGTTAGTTTTTAGCTATAAAAGGCTGCGGGCAGTTAGAGGCTTGCCATTGCCTGCCTCAGCCTAGCAACCCTGGATTTCCCTTCTCCCTCTCTTCTACTCATTCCTGGATCGCTGCGCTCTACAGAGCACCTGTGAAACACATCCTGCTCAAGCAGCAGGGCCAGTAAGACTGGAGTGTTCCCAGGGGACAGGCCCCTCCCCTTCCTGGATTGATCTGAGGAAACCGACCTTGTTCCAGAGAAGGGGCCTATTCCCAAGAGTAAGGACTGCCCCACTCACAGGACCACCGGAGAATTCATCCCACATTTTCCTTGCAACTTGTTTTGTGCTTTAGCCCAAAGGCGCTTCCTCCTAGAGGAGAAACCTGCAAAGAAAAGACCCAGCCAGCTGGAAAGTTCGACAGCCCCGATCTCCCTCAGAAGGGTGAGGACAGGCAGGAGAGAGGGCAGGAGAGAGGGTGGGGGTGGAGAAGAGAGCCATGGGCCTGATTGAGGCCCTGGGTGGGCCAGTTCTGGCCTGCAGGCCTTATGTTTGACACCCCTGGCTTAGATGCTATGAAGAAGTTCTATACATGATAGTGTCTGCCATGGAGTATGCTTCCTCTTAAATTTGTTTGTGCAAAGGCCCATTAAAAACTATGATCTGGTAGACATGGAATTCATTCATAGAATCCAAGCCTTACTTATTTGCTCATCAAACAAAAACTAATATGGCAATATGTATGTTCTCTTGTACTTATATGTTCTCTGGTACTTGTATCACCATTAAACAAGCTCCATACGGATCGTGATTAGGTTGCTCCAAATAATACTTTAGTAACCGTTTTATGTTTCAGAACTATTACCTCTCACATGAAGGACAACATTTCATCCTGGGATTCCAGCCATTCAGTCCCACATCTGAAGAGATGTTCACTGAAGCAACAGTCATCAGGAAGTAATAAAATGGAATACAGTCACTGACATTTGTGACTCTCAATAAGAAAGTTTTTAATTCAACTTTTGGGATATGAAAAAGGGAGGAAAATAACGTGGAAACATCTCTGAGCTTCCTGTCTGTTCTCTTGTTGGTGGGTTGACTGAAAACTGGAAGTGGGTTCACATTCCTCTCAATAACAGCAACATTGCTACTCAAGTTAAGTTGCAGCTAGAATTTCCCGTCTGTCAGCTTCTATTGAGGAGCCTGTATCAGCTTCCATATACTGACGGCCAGTTGTTTAAATATGATAGATTCCATTCATAAAAATGTATTGTGCACCTCAGAAGCAACTGAAAAACAATCTAAATCCTCCAGATTAGAGATTCGACTGAGAATGCATCTCATATGGTGTTGGATGTTCCAGCTAGGAAACCAGTTATATCATTTATTTAAAATTTCAACTTTAATGCAGTTCACTCCGCCCCTCCCATATCCCCTTCCCAGAGACGCTAGCCTAACCCATCCTTCAGCTCATTCCTCAGACAGAATTTTTCCTAAGGTTCACACTTTCTCCATCACCCAAATCGTTGTGTTGAAACTTCCATTGGTTCTCATTTGAGGAAACGTGGTATGCTGAAAACCAAATTCAATCTAGACAGACCACCAGACCTGAAACTTGGAAAAGCAAGGTCAGAAATGAAATGTTAACATCAGTTCACGGTATGGCATTGGCCTACTTTGAATTAAGAAACATACTTTTATGAAGTGCTGCTAGTTCTAAGAATGCTCTGATCAGGTGAGTGTTATATGCCACTTTATCTAAATGTTCCTGTTCAGTGACTTAAAGGTGAAGAAATACTATTTTTCCCTCTGCTATACATTTTTGTTATATATAATTCACTTAAGTGGAATATGGGAAGAATAACTTTAAAATGACATAGAAAGAATCAGAACTCTGTACAGGACAAGGGAACACACCCAGTGGCATGAGCAATCGTACATTTTAAGAACTCACACTATGGTACAGTTTTACACAATGAAAACTGCCCTTCAAACACAGAAAGGGATTATTTGTTACACAAACAGGTGAAACTGGAGTAATCAATGGCTACATAATATTATCAAGGGACACAACCAACCCTGCTACTTGGAGTAGCTTTGACTTGATTGCTGGAAGATGGATGTATTAAACTTTCCATGTGTTACTTTCCATGTGACGTTTCAACATGTTGCAATCTTCAGGTTCTTGAACGTCTCCCTTTCTCAATGTGTAAAGGAAGCAATAAGTGAACTGGGCCCACACATTTATATTCTGGCAAGGTGTCAGACCCACCTGAACTTTCACTGGAAAGAGGTGGTGTGTTTTGATCTGATAGAATGACCAATTCTCTGTGGCAAACCGTACTGGCAAACATACATTCAGGATTTGCACCAGGTTGATTTCTGGAGAGAAATCTCAAAATGGGAGATCAGGTCTTTACTTGTCTGTTGTAAACTTCCACTAATAATTATTGCTGCAAATGGCTGCTGGCTGTTATGGTGTTGCAACAAAAGGATAGCTACTGTACTATAAAAAGATTGATTTGTTCCCCCACCAAGAACCAGAACATATTAATAACCTAAATAAATATTTTATAATCCATTAATAAACGGTGACAGTAAAACTGGTATTCCAAAGGGAGTCAGAAGTTTAAAAAAAAAATACCACTAATGCAGTAGTTCTTTCACTTGGAATTATTCTTTTTTATTTTCAGAACTGAAATGTGTCAGTATATTTATACTCTTAAATAAATCATCTTAAATTTGATTTAAACGTACCAGCATTGTTCCCAGTTAAGAATTTTCAAAAATCTCTTTGGAATACTAATTTCATATTTATAGATTTAAAAAATGCAGCCTATTTCCCTGAATTGTTTCAAGACAGTTGATGATGGAAAGTTTAATATAAAATATTTAGTCACAAAATAGTATTGCTTTTTATGCACATTGTGGCAAGATTAATTTGCTCTTTTTCAATAAAAACTATACCATCTGCCATAAAATCCTAAACATATTTAGAACTGTGATGCAGAACAGAATTTCACAGGTGAAACAGGTACCAGCACAACAATGAGATTATATTACATCAAAAATTTTAATGGTCCCAAATATATACTCAACAACTAAGCATACACTCAGGGGGCAAAATAAAAATAAAATTATGACACAAAAAGTGACCACATCTAGAATTCCATTCAATCTTTTAATCAAGGGATAGACAAATCCCCCACTTCCAAAGAAAATTCTGCAGTTTAAAGGGCAAAGGGGAACACATTTTAAAAAAGAAAACTTATGGTCAGCCCTCCCCCAAAGAGTTCTTTTTTAAACCTGTTGTAGCTCGACTAAAATGTTCAGAATGTATGGTTTCAAAGGCAGGTCTCTTTTATACAAAGAAACTGCTGGCATTCTTAGCTAGTGAAGAATTATGGCAGAAAAGCCTTTTCTTCAAGTCTCATACATGGTCCAAGAAAGCATGTTCTGATTGTAGCAACTGACCAGCCAATCCAGAGTTCCACTATTAAACTCCTGCCCTGTTGGCTTTTTATATATATATTTCCATTTCCTTCCCTGAGAAAAGGGCAATGCGTGGTCCAAGCTGGAGAGGTCAAAGGCATGTCATTCCCATTAAGTGTAGTATATCCTCTTCTGCCGCTCATTCAAATTGGCACTTGATTAGCAGGAATCCACATTTTTAAACTGATCTGTGTCACACACAGTAATTCACTAAAAGTTGCAGTTTTTAATTATGGACTTTTCCTGTTCTGGAAACCAGGTTCACCCGCCAACTGATGCTGCTCTTCAGAACTGTCATTATGAGGACTCAACCTTTGCTTTCTGTGACAAAGGTAGACTTTCTTCATCATCCTCATCATCATCGTCAGGATAATCTACAAGCCCCACCAGGCCTCCCTAAAAAAATGAAAGAAAAAAGGAAAATTAGAGTCACAAACAATATTAGCTATATTCCTGCTTTACTATGTTCTAATATACAGACTATCAGAAGTTTTAGTAAGAACTTCAGTCTTCACAAGATGTGAAAATATTTGGAGAATACATCTAAAACAGATAAAACAATTCTACCTACTTGGGGGGAGGTAGATTGGGTTCGAGTGAAAAGGTGACAACATTTTTCTATCTGTACAAAGATGGAAATTTCTTTTACCTAGAAAAGTTGGCTGGACTGCAGCAATGAGCGATCTGACGTACTTCAGAGACAATATGGAACATCCTTCAAATTGAATTATCAATTAGGATAATTTAATGATGTGGTCTCTTCCATTTATATAACTATAGTATATTGATGTACATGCAAAACAGCCACATGAATGCATTATTTGCAAGTTATAAGATTCAAGAAAAATTAAAGACAAATTGTTACTAGATGGCCACTAATGAACCCCTGTGCTGTCCAAAAGGATTTTTATGTTGGCTAGTATAAATAGAGATTTATGTATCTTGTCTCCATAATTAAGGAACCCAGTATTAAGGGTGATAAGCACCTACAACTATTCCATGCTCCATCCAGTCTGAATCAGTATCAACAGCCAAAACCAGGAGATGTGCTTGCTCATTACATCTGAAGGATCACATACATGCAAATGTTGCTATTCTTGGCCACAATACATACAATGGGCTGCCCTGAAAAAAAACCCTCAGAGGATGCCTGATCTTTTATACATGGCCTTACACATACACAGGAAAGGCTTGAAGAACTTAAAAGCCAGCATGCTAAGGCTGAAATCCTTGAAGAGTGGCCATAATGACTGTAATATACAATTTAGGGACATTAAAAAGGGTAACAAAAATCCAACATACACATGAGTTTGAAGTCTGAAAAGGCATACACTGCATATTGCACACCTTGGTTGGGGCTAAGCAATGCTCCCTTTAAAACTAAGGGCAAGATGCAAAGCGGTGAAAAGCCAAGGTCAGCACCACTGAAGTGTCTGTTCAGCACTCTCATTTCTGGTGCTTTTGCTTCCACAAGCATGGGCAACAGGCCGAGAAGATGTTCATTTTTTTCACAGCAGCGTCATCACATATTCTGCACTGGAAAATATTTCCTGATTTGTAGACGTAATTCAACTATATTGCCAGGAACAGCAGGCAGATACTGAACCCTTAAGAAAAGGCAACAGGTCCCCTGTATTCAAAGCATGTAGGCTGGATATAAGAGTCACATGGACTGTTCCTATCTTATGATTCTTGCATCCTCAAGTGGCCCCCGGAATTCTCTTAAAACTATCATTCTGAGCTAACAAGAATGGCAATGAGCAAAAAAGCAATGGACTAGATCCAATCACCCTGTTCAGCTAGCTAAGGTGGGGCATTCCATCAGCATAAGGCACAAGCAGCTCCTGTTGATGGGGTATGCCCTGTGCCAATGGAACATGCCCTGTGCCACTTTGTGCACCATCCTTAGCTGAGTGGGGTGACTGCATAAAAACTTACAGCTGTATATGTGGTTGTGTGCGTGCACACACACACACAAACATTCTGCCATCAAGTGACAGCTGATTAGCCAACCCTGAAGGGTTTTCAAGACAAAAGACATATGGAGGTAGTTTGCCATTGCCTGCTCCGCATCACAATCCTGGTATTCCTTGGGGGTCTCCCATCCAAATATTAGTCTGGGACAACCATGCTTAGCTTCTGAGATCTGGTTAGCCTGGGCACACACACACAGCCAGGATACCTTTCCTCATGAGAAAAGGAAGGGACTGCATTTCCATTTTTATTAGAGAATGATTTTGGAGTTTCTAGATATATGTCACAATACTGGGCAGACTGGAGATGCAGCACTGGGAGAGTGACAAAACCATTCTTAGGACTGAGATTATAGACCGTTAGAGCTTTACCCCTTTTTGATCCTTTCCTCATTCCCAATGTGCACTCAGACCAAATAATACACGAGGGTCATTCTCTGATGGTTTATTCTAAGGAAGTTAGGGATTTTGTGTGGGTGGGGATTTTGGTGGTGTTTCCACTGAAATAGCTGAATCACCAGCTGATATCATTGTGCTTACAGTAGCTAGTGTTCTTTGCACATGGGGTGGATTCAATAAGAAACCATATGGATCCAACTGGTTTCTGGACTGCCACTTAGGATTTCTAGCAGATCTTGTTAGCTGACTCCTGCAAATAAGGGAGCTAACGCTGGCATCCTGCAAATAAGGGAGCTAACGCAATAGCTCTTCCTAGGCAGCCTCTCTGTTTTCCAGATCTCAGGCCTCCCCAATGGTTTGAAGGGAGCTATGGGATGCAGCAGAGATGACTTGAGTACAGGTGGAAGAAAATTCATAGCAAATCTAAACAGACATGGATTACTATGTGTTACAAAACATGTACAAAAAAACTACTGGACAGTTTTGTCAAGAGTGGGTTCTCAGCAGTATGATGATGACACCAGACCCTCATGACCGTCTGACCCGGTATGGCAAGTTCTATCTGTAAACAACTGAGATCAGTAACAGACTGAAAGCGGGTGAATAAATTAAAGCTTAATCCAGATAAAACTGAATTATTCATGGTTGTCATCTCACCCTAAAATAGCAGTTTACATGCTGGAAGTGCTTCTGGATGTGGGCCTCCTTCAGAATATACATACAGGTACAGGCTGTGACCCAGAGTGCATTTTAAACCCCTTTGTGGGGGTACTTTATGAAGTGTGCCCTTTGAAAACAGCTAGGAAACATCAACTGGTCCAGAACACTGCAGCCATATTAATTGCAGGTAATGGGGAGAAGGAACATATAAATCTAATACTGCAAGTGCTCCATGATTCCAGATCTGTTTTCAAGATGACTTCAATATGCTTCAGAATTTTATAAATACCCTGGATACCTGAGGGAGAACCTTCTTCCTGTTCTTTGAAATCCAGCAATGAAAGACTACAAAAGGTAATCAGACTGGTTTCTACAGCTGAAGAGCTTTTACAGTGCCCACTGTCTCTGGAACTTCTTGCAATGAGAGATACAATATGCTTGGCTCAATGAAATGAGCCATGTTTCCCAGCAAGATTTTAATTAAGGGTGCAAGAAACTGATTTGCTATACTGTTTCTGTTTGCTGGATTATATAATTAATAAAGTACTCAAATGGTATGCTATTTTTCTTGACTTGGAGACTTTTCACAAACTAAAATGGATTATAAATGCTCTAACAAGTGCCCTTTCACAGAGCAAGATGTAAACAACAGCAACACAGGCTGTCTAGTTTTCTTTATTAATCTAAACACAATGAGATATTTCAAACAGAAACTTTAGATACTTTTCATTTTCAAAACTAAACTTGCCAGTTTAAAGGTACATTCATATAACAGCACCATCCAATAACTGGATCATACACTGAACACTTAGAGCAGTAAATCTTGATTAGATATTTGAAAAAGGACAACTGGGGCACAAAAATAGCTTAGTTGTTGCATCATTTTAGAGATTTATTTAATCGTAGTTTGGAAAGAAACTGTAAATTATATACAAATGAATGGTGACATACATGAATGGCAAACCTCAGAACTGGTGGTCTGGTTTGGACACGACAAGCACGATTTGACTCGAGTGAACACAGTACCTTGGTAGTGATAGCTGCCATCTGAGATGTGCTTTTGGAAACGGATCCAGGAGATCCTGGTGACCCAGGAGATCCTGGTGACCCAGGAGACCCAGGCAAATTAGTTCCAGATGACTGGCTGGTGAGGTTAGCCTTCGTACCACTAGAGAAGGAAAGTTTAAAACTTGGGCTCTGACGACCTGAAAGGTTCGTTTTCAGAAGGACCTCCTTTTCTTCACTTTCTTTAACTGGAATTTAAAACAAATACTATTGTAATGAAGTTCTACTGAGAAAAACAGGTTGCTTACCTGTAACTGATGATCTTTGAGTGGTTATCTATGCATTCACACCTATGGGTTAAGGTGCCTGCGCCACCTTCGGTTCGGGAAACTTCCATCAAGCTCAGAAAGGATCTGGAGCCCCTCCTCCCAGCATGCGCAGGAACTCCAACCACGCAGGCCCAGAGGGCGGGGCTCCAGCATCCCGCCAGTTCCTTCTGATCACTGCAGACCTCCATAAAGAATTAATCAAACTGAAGGCAGACAGCAGTGGGGAAGAAGGGTGGGTGGTGTGAATGCATAGATGACCACTTGAAGATAATCAGTTACAGGTAAGCAACCTGTTTATCTTCTTTGTGGTATCTATGCATCACACCTATGGGAGATTAGCAAGTTTAGGTCTACCTGGGGGAGGGTACTGGCAGCATCTCAGGAGACCATGGACTGTAGTACTGAGTGTCCCATATGTGAAGGATTCTGTGCACAAACATCCCAAGCGTAATGCTTGATGAACATGTTCGGAGTAGCCCATGAGGCCAACTGACAAATGTCTTGCAGGGGCACCCCTCTGAGGAAGGCCATAGAGGTCGACATCGCACGCATGGAATGAGCTCTACACCGAACAGGTAAGGGTCTCTTTTCCAAGAGATAACACAACTTAATGGTCTCAATGATCCATTTGGATAGTCTTGTGTGGAGTTTTACATCCCAATGTCGGGGGGGGGGTGTCATTTGTCCTAGCCCAACTGCCTGTAACCTTCGGGATGAGATGCAGGCTGGAAGGGGGATGAGATGCAGGCTGGAAGGGGGCCAAGCTATCCTACTTTTCAGTCCCCTTCCCTTATATTCATGCCTGGTTCCACTGCTATACTTTCGCCTCCCCAGGAGTACTGGAATCCATAGGCCAGTCAACACCCTTTGTTAATGGTCTTTGCAGGAGACTCAGACCAACCAATACAGCCGACTGGTAAGGTGGTTGTACGCTGTATGGATAACTACTAGTTCACAATTCTCACAATATTGCTGAATCCCTAGCCTAATTACATTCTAGCCTACCATCTAAATCCTGCTAATATTCCTGTCTAGACCTCTCTCTTAACTACATCCAGAGTATGCCATAAGCACTCAATGTTCGTCTTGGGCTGTGGATAAAAATCTGACAAGATGACCTGTTTATGTAGATAGAATTCTGAGACCATCTTTGGTAAGAAAGTAATGTCTGGTGCCAAGGCTACACTATCTGCCAGGAACCTCAGAAAGGGAGTGTCATGTCTGAATGCTAAGAGGTTACTCGCTCTGCCTGCAGGCCTCCAAAAATACAGTCTTCCATGACAATAATTTCAGCTTGCACGTTGCCATGGGTTTGAAAGGTTTACAGGTAACCTTGCATAATACCATGGGCAAGTCCCAAGCTTGTGTCAGCGATTTAACTGGGGGTACAAGTGTAACAAACCCCTCAAAAATCTTTTAGAGTCAGGATGGGCAAAGACCAAGGTATTATCCAATCTTTGTGGAAGACCAAGATAGCCACCAAATAAACTCTAAGCGAAGAGTGAGTGAGGCCCACATCAGCAAGATAAAGAATAAAGTCAAAAATATGAGGCAGGCCAACTAAAGTGGCTGAAGGAAAGTGAGGAATTTAGACCATTTATAACCGTAGGAGGCCTGGGTAGATCGCTTCCTACTATTCAGGAGAACCATTGCTACCCTGTTGGAAAAACCTCGCCGTGTATCCTCCAAGCTGTCAGTTTGAGGTGGGGCACATTGTGGTAGAGAACCTGGCCCTTTGATGTCAAAAGCAAGTCTGTTGCTTGCGGGAAGTGAAGGAAGACTCTTTTGGAGAGTCAAAAGAGCAGTGGGAACCACGGTTGCCTTGACCACCAAGGAGTCACGAGAATGCAATCCGAACACTGTTGCAGAATCTTGTTCAGTACCTCTGTGAGAAGTCGAATTGGGGGGCAAAGAAACAGTGACTTTCCCATCCATGGGACCAATAACTCATCCCGTAGAGAGAGAGGATCCGTGCCCCCTCTGCGGTAAAACTGGACACATTTGGAATTCTGTCTCATTGTGAAGACATCTATTTGTGGGTGACTTCATTGCTGAAATATGGGCCAAAGATACTTCCAGTTCAGCTCCCATTTGTGCAACTTTGCTCCCTCTCTGCTGAACGCATCCTCGTGGATGTTTTGGACACCTGGAAGATGCGTTGCTAACATCCAAATATTGTGTTAGACACCAGTCCTACAGAGTCAGGGGCCAGGCGACACAGTTGGTGCAATATCATGCCGCCCTCTCTATGTAACCAAGAGCAGTCATGTTGTCTGTCAGAATTGCAATCGTCTTCCCAGCAATCATCGGCAGCAAGAATTGAAGAGCATACTGGATCAACAGAAGTTCCAAAAAAATTGTTGTGGGAGCCCTGCATATTGTTCTCCCACAGTGCCCTGACATGCGTCTTGTGGTGACAGTGACTGTAGGTGTTGGCAGATGAAAAGGAGCACCTGTCATAAGATTGGGAACATGTTCCCACCACATCGGGGGATCCTTTGCATTGGATGGTAGTAGAAGACGTCTGGATCGGAGATCTTTGGAGGGTTTGAAAACCCTGACAAACCAAAGTTGTAAGGAGCGCATGTGAAGCCTCGCTAAGGGAAGTACCCTCATTGTAGCTGCCATCAGGCCTAAGAGCTGTTGGACATCAAAAGCTGTCACAACTGGCAACGACCGAAGGAGTTGTGCCAGTATGGATAGAGTATGTGCCCGCCGATTGGGAAGAAACGCTCGGCTGAGGGTGGAATCAATGGTAGCCCCAATAAAATCCACCATTTGGGATGGGATAAGATTTGATTATTTTGTGATTGACACAAAGTCCCAGGTTGTGTAGGAGATGTAAGGTCAGACATATATTATCCATCAAGAGGTCTCTGGATCCCGCTACTAGATGCCAGTAATCGATATAGGGGAAAAACATAACCCCTTGAAGCCACAGGTAAGCCGCTACTGCCACCATCCTTTTGGGGAAGACCCTGGGTGCAGTTGAGAAACCGAAGGGCAGGACCTTGTATTGGTAATGGTCCCCCCCATCAACAAAGCAGAGAAAATGTCTGTGAGGAAGAAAGATGTCGAGATGGAAGTAGGCGTCTTGTAAGTCTATCATGGCCATCCACACCTCAAACTCTAAGAGAGGCAGTATGTTCTGCAGAGATGTCATTCTGAACTTCCAATATGTGATGCATTTGTTCAGAGCCCTGAGATCTAGAATTGGGTGAAGGCCTCCATCCTTTTGTGGAACTCTAAAGTACCAGGAGAAAAATCCCCATCCCCATTCTAGAGAGGGAACCAAATCTATGGCCTGCTTCTTCAGCAATTGCTGAACTTTCTGATGGAAGACCAATGATGATGCGGTCCTGGTGAACACAGGAGTAGGAGGCGTCTCCAAGAATTCTATCGCATAGCCTCGGGTGATGAGGGAAAGCACCCAAGTGTCTGATGTTATTAGACTCCACGCTGGGTAGAAGGAACCAAGGTGGGTAGCCACAGGTAAAAGAGAGCCAGTTTAGTGTAGTGGTTAAATGTGTGGACTCTAATCTGGGAGAACTGGGTTTGATTCCCCACTCATCCACTTGTATCTGCTGATGTGACCTTGGGTCAGTCACAAGCTCTAGCACAGCTGTCCTTGAAAAAGAGCAGTTTGTGTCAGAGTTCTCTCAGCCCCACCCACCTCACAGGGTGTCTGTTGTGGGAAAGGGAAAGGAAAGGAGTTTGTAAGCCGCTCTGAGACTCCAAGTGAAGGGCGGGGTATAAATCCAATCTCTTCTTCTTCTTCTTCTAAAAAGGGGAGGTGGGAAAGGGAAGGCTCTAGCAGGTATATGGTTGAAAAGTCAAAGGCCCTGCTTGGTGTTCTTGGCCATTTTAAACTTGCCAGGTTGTGACACCTGTTGGAACTTCGGCTGTGGCGCATATTATGCTTTGATCTAGATGGAGACTGGGAGTGTCTGGATTTCCAGGGATCATCTGGAGACTGTCTGCCATATGGATGCCTATTAGAGCAAAACCATCTTTTGGGACTTTGAGGTCTACAGGCAATGGAGACACCCAAATTTCGAGGGGCCTTTAAACTCTTATCCATGTCCTGCAGGACAGTGTCAGTGGTGGAATGAAAGAGGCCTTGGCCATCAAAGGGTAGATCTTCGAAATAGGCCCAGGTATCGTTTTGAAGTGATGTAGTATGGAGCCAAGAGTGATGACGGAGAGCTACAGCAGAAGACACTGTCTTGGAACAAGTATCAAGGGTATGTTTCGCAGAGTTTTAGCTGCTTTGCCAGAATCATACCCTCTTTCTGTACCTTTGTAGCCTCATCCTGTTTCTGTTTAGGTAAAAGAGCAAGGAAAGCTGACATCTCATAAAGAGTACTCATAGTGCCCCATACATGCCACATAGTTTTGACATTTTAATCCCTGAAGCACCTGCAGAGTAAAACTGGTGACCAAATGTATCCATCTTCTTACTCTCCTTGTCTGATGGAGTAGAGTGTGTCTTCTTACTCTTAGACGAGAGGGTAACTATCATGGAATTAGGTTTCAGGTGAGCACAAAGAAATTCTGCTCCAGCCTCCTGAACTTTATATATGTGGTCCAACCTTCTGGTGGAGACAGGTATGGAAAAGGGTTTGTCCCAATTATACTTGGCTGCCTGTAGAAGAACATGAGTCACAGGCAAGGTAATGGCTGTCAAAGTATCTAGTCAAATGATGTCAATCATGGCATCCGTCACTTGGAGTTGAGGCTGAGTAATGGTGATGCCCAAGGAATGTGCCATTCTTTTGATTAAGTCCCCATATGAATGGAGATCCTCCGAAGGGGAAATATGAAGGTCATCAGCTTGTTGATTAGGTGAGGGATCTGAAGGAGTAGTAGGAGCCCCAGAGTCCTCCTCCTTGAATTCACTGCCAGAAGAATGTGACAGTTCGCTTTCAGCCATTAGGTGGTGGTGGACTGTCGTGAAGTAGGCAGGGTGCAGGTATTGGTGATCCTGGCTGCATCAGAGCAGTCGGTATTGATGGCACTGGTGTCGAAGCCCACAGAACAGGGTCAGCCATTGGGGTTGATGGTTTGTTATGAGCGGCTGGTAACACCGGGGCTGACATAGGACAGTCCCGTAGTGGGGAACGAGCATGGCGGGAGACGATAGAGTGTTGGTCCCAATCCAGCGGTCAGATTGGAGTCTGTAACTGTCTCTGCTCCCAAGGAAGCATCATAGGGGACAGCGGAAATGGGAAGGTAGTCAGTGGTCCTCCCATGGCCTTGCAAAGACCTACTATGACGTGAAGATGAGCAGTCCATTCTATGCTTAGATTTCTGTCAATGTCAACGATCGATATCAATTGGAGATCGGGATTGAAAGTGGTCGGAGGCTGAGGAGCGGGAACTCTGCTTGACAACGACGTGATGTGAAATGGGCATCTCTTCCATGTCTGACCCAGAGAGGGGAAGGTCACACAGAGCCGATCGTTCCATCAGGGAGTCTACCTGACGAATGGGTGAGTTCAGCAGCATAATAGGTGGGATTGCTGGAACGTGCATCAGGTCCGGTGAAACTGAATGAATGAGGGGAGTAGCTGCAGGCGCGTCAGAGCCTATTGCAGCACTCACCGAGGTAGCCTTCAAGTCAGTTTTAAGGTGTTTGTGCTTGACCTTAGTATGGCTCTTAGCATCCTTCTTTTTCTTGGATGTCAGCTTCAGCATTACTGATGGGGCCATCGATGCTGTTGTTTTTGATGTCGAAGGTCTGTTTTCTGAGATGGTCTTAGCGCACCTGAAGATTGAGGCCAATCTTTCGATGTCCATCAAGGCTGATCTGCCAATGCCAATTTCGGCATTACCTCACCCAGGGTGGAAGCCATCAATTTTGGTCAAAGTGCCAACTTCGGAAGAGACACTTGAAGCCTGGCTGCTCTGTTCTTTTGGGTTTGGTTGGAGAACTCCACACAGTGAACACAGCTATCTTCACCCAGACAGAGTAGACACAAGGAATGGCCATCCAATGGAGCAAGCTTGTACCCACACTGGGTGCAATGCTTAAAAACCCTCCAACAATTTGCCATAGACAAGGAGACAAAATCTGAGGAAAAAATGGGGTGTGTGTGTCCAATGAGTGTCGGAGAGAGAAAAAGAAAGTCTAACTATATTATTATTACTTTTTTCAGAAAGCAAAGCTTGAAAGGTAAAGAAGAGAAAATGAGCTAAAGAGAGAGAAAAAGACTCAAAGAAACACTTTCCCTCACGAAAGAGGTTCCCAGACCAAAGCAGATTGAGTGATCAGCATGGCGGTCAGAAGAGAACTGGCAGGATGCTGGAGCCCAACCCTCTGGGCATGCGTGGTTGGAGCTCTTCTGCATGCTGGTGGAGGAGCTCTAGATCCTTTCGGAGCTTGACAGAAGTTTCCCAAATGGAAGCCAGCGCAGGCACCTTAGCCCATAGGTGTGATGCATAGAGACCACAAAGAAGATCTGCAACTAGCTTAAGACACAAAATAGCTATATCACAAGTTATTGTACATAAGATGCATTTTGCTGTGCATACTGACTGTTGAAATCCTGTCCATGCATATTCCTTAAATCTAACAGCATCTACAAATGCTACATGAACCCATGGGCATATACAAGTGGGTGGGCACTGAACAACGATTATTCAAAAACAGTGCCTGCAAATCCTTTTGCTTTGTTCATATGAACAAAGCTATTTGATGAATAGTCAAATTATGAAATTCATACCGATTGTCAGGTTTTTTCACATAGTTCTTTAAACTTAACTACTTTAGAGTAAATTTCTTGAAAGCTTGCTGGTTTTTTGATTGCAGCAAGCTATGCAGCTGAAGCTATGCATCTCAGTGAAACGTGAGCCTGTGAGCTGGAGTACCCATGGATTAGAAACAGATTCCAGGCCTTTTCCCTTTTCCTCTCCATTCTTTCCTTCTGGTGTTTACCACAGTTAAGGTTTCCACTGGTGCTGATCTACCCAGAGTCTGTTGTCAACTAGGACTATATAATCCAGACTTCAAGCAGGTTGGAAAACCATTGCAGACAGTAAACTGGCTGGTGCTCAGTTTAGTGCCAATGCCAGTTTTAACCATAGCAAAGGCTATCAGGAGGAGGACAGAAAGGGATTTACACTGAAGAGGGGAGGAACTGCATAATTTCATGGCCCTCTCCTTTCACCACAGTTAACAGTTCATAAACTGCAACTGGTCTTTGATGAAAAAAATATCTATACACACTGACTTCCTAAATGATCTCACTGAATCTACTTAAACCAAAAACATGCAGTTCTTCCACTGACTTACATTTTTTTCTTTCCATAAATTTACTTATGGGATCCATAATATCTTCGTCATTTTTACTTTTGTCAGAGGGCAGCACCACAGCCTCTCCATCTTCCATATCGTCTTCATCAGTATTGAACCACATCTCTTCTTCATCCTCCAAGGTCCTAGCATCTCTCCGATATCTGTGGTTCCTCAAGATGGAACGCATGCTATGGAAGAGGGTATACTTTTCAACATTGTCTCCCCTCACTATTATAAGGTTTTAAATTTACATATACAATGCTAAAGATATGAACTCAATAAATTGACTAACATGTGAAACCTTTACATTTTTCAGACCACATAACTTAATCCTTTAATTTTTTAAGACAACAAACTAAAATAATCCCTTTATAGACAGCTGATGTATTTAACAAACTAAAAGTTGCATGTGCATCAATATAAATTTATCACTGATGCACTTCTGTTCCTGACACTATTTCAGTGTCATTTTTAGTCCTTTCTTTCTCATTGATTTGATACTGCTGGTACCACTGACTGAATCACAAAACAGGTTCTGGGGATATAAGGCTCTCTACTGTCTTGGGAATTCTGCTTACATTCTAGGTATCATTTACAGATATTCTTTGGGTCAGTTGTAAAGAAATGTGTATTCTTTTGTACTGTCCTGATAACTTTTTAAATGCATCCTCTTAATGTAGTACAAGAACTGCTCTATCCTCACTCATAGTTTTAATTTAAAAAGAACTATAAAAAAGCAGACATCTGAGCAACCTCAATCTGAACCCACTTCTTTTGTTCAAAAAAGTTCTTTTTGTTTCTCCTCAACAAGAAAACCTAGTATGAAACCTATAATAAAGACTCCAGTGTACACTAACCTGTCAAGTTTGGGATTATCTTGTCTTTCCCTTTGTTGTTCATAACGCAATTTCAAACCTTTGAATGTCTGCACATAATCTACATCTTCTAGTGCTTTCCAGTAATTCTCAATTACATGAGCTGTTAAGGATTTTATGTCTTCCTAGAAAACAAAGTTATTTTTTCCCAATTAAAAATGTTAAAAAAAATAGAAGCACAGAAAAGCTATGACAATTTACTCTCAAAATGCTGAAAGGGAGTTGGTCTAGTTGGTTCAACTGACAGTCTTCCATGTGTCCAACAGTTAAACAGCTATGTTAAACTCATGTTTGAACTACAGAAGCAATGTAGTAAAGGAAGTGTAACAAAAATAAAAAAATAACTTCACAGCAAGCTTTCAATAGATAGAAGCATTTTTCTATCAGTCCCTGGCATACCACTGGCACTAAAAGTGCTAGGACTAGTTACAGAATAAAAATTAATATCTGTAATTTATGTAATGTTATTTTTGAAGGGTTTCCAAGCTGGACTTATGGCTGAGGGCCAGTTTGAACAATATGCCTGCAGCAAACCTGAACCAAAAAATCCACACAGTTCACGTGGGTAACTCATAAAAATAATTCATGCAACATTTCTTACATGAACTGGAAAATTGCAGCTTATGATTTGACAGTTCCTGGAAAGGAAGCCTCAGTCTAAAATTTGTTGCTTCAATGTTATAATACCCACATACAGACACTCTAACGAGTGGGGATTTTGTGCATGCATGAAATTCAGCTGTTGGCACATTATTAGAATAGATCCTCACCACAAATTGATCAAAACTCTTCTACTCTGAGCAGCATGTCCCTCAGGCAGAAATGAGAACCTATGTTATTTTTGTTTAACAATGTCCACATTTTTAAACACAATAGTAAACATAAAATTACAGTGTACTTAGACTCAATAGTTGCACTAAGATCCAACACAAGTCTCCATCCTCAATGATCATCATCATTCTGGTTCTTCAGTTTTGATCCACTGGGACCAGCAGCACCATCTTTCTCAGGGCATCAGGGATGGATTGTCCTTTCTGCTCTATCTGATTTAGTGGTGTGCAAAAAAAACCCCAGTATTTTTTGGGTTCAGATATATTGAATCTGAAAAATATTGGTATCCCCCAATATTCACAAATCCCCAAAACAGTATGGTATTTGGATTTGGTATATATTTGGGAAAGCCCATTTTTTTCAGCTCCATTATACCCTATGGGCATCATTATAGTCAATGGCTATATAGTTATAGGCTATAATGGAAAATCAATCAGTGGATATCTGGGGCTCGGGGGGTGGGTGTTTTTTGAGGTAGGCGCACCAAATCTGCAGCATAGCTGCTGATGCCTCTCCTCAAAAAAGCTCTCAAGTTTAAAAAAGGTTGGACCAGGGGGTCCAATTCTATGCCACCCCAAAGAAGGTGCCCCCATCCTCCACTGTTTTAAATGGAGGAAAAAAGGCATTTAAAGGGATTGTGGTCCCTTTAAACACCTTCTCCAAGCAGTGAGTTCACCTGGGAGGCGCTTAAAGGACTAATGCAATCTTGGGGTGTATCAACAGAGGCACAACATCCAAATCAAAAGATGTCACAGTCCCACTGTACACCGCATTAGTCAGGCCACACATGGAGTATTGTATGAAGTTCTGGAGGCCTCACTTCAAAAAAAACTGTGGACAGAATGAAGCGGGTGCAGAGGAGAGCAACGAGGATGATTGGGGGCCTGAAGACCAAGCCCTATGCAGAAAAGCTGAGGGACTTGGGAATGTTCAGTCTGGAGAAGAGGAGGTTAAGGAAGGACATGGTTGCTTTCTTTACGTATTTGAAGGGCTGTCACTTAGAGGAGGACAGGGAGCTGTTACTGTTGGCAGCAGAGGCTAGGACTCCCAATAATGGGTTTAAATTAAGGGCGGGAAGGTTCTGCCTGGATATTAGGAAAAACTTTTTTACAGTCAAAGTTGTGCAACAGTGAAATCAGCTGCCTCGGGAGGTGATGAGCTCCCCCTCACTGGCAGTCTTTAAGCAGCATCAGGACAAACACTTGTCAGGGATACTGTAGGCTGATTCTGCACTGAGCAGTGGGTTGGCCTAGATGGTCTGTATGGCCTCTTCCAACTCTGATTCTATGACTGTGAATCCTTTAAATGCCCTTTAAGTTCAGCTATCTAGCGGCCCCGAAAATCCAAATATTTTCAGGATTTTCGAAACTTGGCCATTTTGGATAGCCAAAGTTCAGCCCCATTCGGTAACTGGCTTAAAAAATACCCGAAAAATACCGATATTTTTTCGGCTTGGTTTATGCCAAATGCACACCCTAGACTGATTATAATCTTAGTAAATGCAATGCATCTTACTCACTGCTGTCCTTTTCTTGGGATATATTATAATCTTGATTATTTGGGCCAGTGTCTGGACGTTCCTGTTTTGTGGCAGAGGGCAGGACAGCCTGATCTTCTCTCCTGTGCATTTATCTGTAGTTCTACAGCTTCAAAATTGGTGGATCAATTGCCGGCATGCTGCCCGAGTGCTAGTTATTACAATAGTGCTAAAAGCTGGGGTTATGAACTCAAGTTTCTTGAGAAACTGTGTCATATCTCATGCTTCCACCACTGTCAATATGAGGGCAATATCTTTCTCAACACCACAACATCTCTTCTATGTTTCTTCTTCAATGAACCAACATCTGGCAGTCAACATGCATGCAACACTGCTTACTCTAATTTTCTGTCCTAGCCCAAGCAGCTTGCTCTCCAGTTTTACATGAACTAACAAATAAAGCTAACTCCTACTACTGTCCTCTCAGATTTAAGATTTTATCTGGATACTTTTTCCCTACATACTACAGTCACTGCTCACCCTCCTTCTAGAAAGATGTACTCACCACTCTAATGAATTCAAACATTTCTATAATAGCAGAGTTCATCAGATTATAGCGGGATCCATTGCTGAGAAATGCTTTGACCACCGGTTCAAATAAAAAACTTTTCATTATATAGCGGTTGTAGAATTCGTCCTTCAACCCAATTATCTTTCTTTTAAAACGCAGAGCACCTAACAAAGACAAAGATTATAGAAAAAGCTATTTTCACATTTTTCAGAAGAATAACGAGTCATGATCTCTGAAGGTTCTCACAATTCTCAGAACACAGAATTTTGATACCGTGAAGGATAACCACAGTACTATATAGAAAATGCAACAGTCAAAAACAGTTACGTAAAGTCTCTCTGCTGCAGAATGCAAAACAAGAAAATACATGGAATTAATTTACAATGCGGAGGAGGGGTACAATTGGCACAGGGAGCTGACCCCCCCATGCTGGCATAACTTGAAGTTACACTGGCGTAAGGGGCGTTAACACTGTTGCAGGGTATGAGTGGTGGTACGTGGCGCTGCACTGTGCAATTCCACTGGTGCAGCCACATGATAGTGGAGTGACGGCATGAACCCCTGCACCAGCATCAATGTGGGCATTGCATGGGGCACGTTGCCAGTCAGGCATCTCCCAAAGTGTTTTCAGTGTGGGAATGCCCCCAGAATAGGCACAAAATTGTGCCGGTAAAAATGCTGGTGTAGCCCATTGGCATCCATAGTAAATTGAAATTCACCCCCCCACACACACACAGCTGCAGCCACACCCATGGGTACTCGAGCTCAGAATACTGATCAAGTATGCACCCAATCAGCACCCCCCTGTGCCAGCCCTGCCCCTCCTCGGCATGCAATCACAGCACCCCTGCCCTACAAATGGTTCCAGGTCGCCCCACAACTCCAAAGGGCGCGTGGCACAGAATGCTCTGACAGCTCCCTACCATGCAGACTTAGAGCAAGCGTGCACACACATCAGTGACAGGCAAAACACAGACAGGGCACCTAGAACTGCTGGGTGAGCACTTGGCGGGAATATACCACAGGGAGAGCAAAATCCACCCTCTGTGGCTGACCTCTCCCAGATTTCAGCCCACACTGGTACACCAGGCCCTCCACCAGGATCTCATGGGGCAGCCGCATAGGAACAAGTAAACAAGGCTCACATCCCCCACCCCCATACTTCCCCCGGGCCTACAATGGTGGCAGCGAGCCACACTGGACATGAGATTTCCCCATCTCAAACCTGGCTGCTGAGGGGGCAAGCTGTGGGCCCCCAGACGATAATGAGTTTCCACGCAGTAGGCAGATAGGTGTACCAGGGCCTGCCCAAGGCAGCTGTTGGGGGAGGGGGGCAGCAATGACACCTGTGCAGTAGGCGGCTCGCCTCGCCAGTTGGCAACACCCCCTGCACAAAATCCAGTGGTAGGTGGCAAGCCCCACCAACCTATGTGCTGTGCGATTCCACATAATGGCGAAACCCTTTCCCTTCCAGGAACAGAATGCCCTGAATATGCTGACACAGTGTATCTCCTGGCACAAGGAAGTTCCGACAAGACGTTAACTCAGGTGAGGAGGATGTGGAAACTGCCACTCGGGGGGTGGCTTGCAGTATTTGTGCACCATGGAGGCCCCTGTGGAAATAGTGAGCTGCCACAAGGGAATGTTCCTGGCTGCTCCAGCATCTGTTGTGCTCCATACATAGTTGCTGATCCAATAGGGGGATGCAGCCAAAGAAGTGGACACAGATGGGTGGGAGGGGAAGTCCAGGGGTGAGGCCACCATGCCCCCAGATAAAGGCACACACTGCACACGCACAAAGTCCTGGGTCACCTCATTCACCTAGTGAAAGGCAAGGGGGAACTGGGTAAAGCATCCTGGCAAGGCAGAGAACTAGCACAAGAACACAATGGGTGGTTCCCCTGGACCGGCCCAGGGTGTGGTACATGGCCCCAGGGGGCCGCCAACAGACTGACTTTTGGCCAGCAGTATTCGGCAAGCCAAGCGAGGACAGTCAGTTGCAGAGGGCATTCCCCTATGGAGGCATGCTAAGGCCATCCAGATCCCAGGCACCCTGGGGGAATTTTGGGTATGCAGATGATGGGCTCAACCTGCAAATAGCAACAGCTACTGGGCAACAGTGGCCTCCAAAGGCAAAACTGAAGAGTGGAGCACTCAATATGTGTGTTGCCCTTTCCCATGGCCTTCCCAGAGCAGAGCAACCATGACAGTAGATGCCCTGAGCCACTTCCCTGCCACTGATGACCATCTTATGGCCCAGTCTCCACAGAGCTAGGAGCATCCGCAAGGGGCCTGCACCATCGGTGGATCAGCAATCCACACGGATGTGCAGTTCCTTCCACAACCCTTCCTCCATTGTGCTTGTAAAAGCTGCAAATCAGCCACATGGCCTTTCAATCTCAAATGATGGAAATTCCTAGCTCAGTAGACACTGTTGTTCATTCCCCTTTTCAGGGGACCATAGCACTGTAAAAAACAGAATGGGTGGCAGGGAGCAGCTCTCCTGGGCTACGGCCAGGGGGTCTGAGGGGCCCAATGATGCACTGCCCTGTGTCAGCACCTTCACCACTTCTTCTGGATGACAGAGGCTCTGAGGGCATTGGCAAATGGGGCACAGGCATGCCATCACAGTTCCAGCCAAGACCTGTACATGGCAAGCTGCAGCCTCTGGCTGCACTGTGTTTGTGTCCCTGCAAGCAGCCCACCCTGGCAGTTTCTGACCCAAATGAGGGCATGTGCTGGGGAGGGGACGGACAGGCCTGGTTATTGGGGGAGAAGACCATGTGGTGTTGGAGCTGCCCCCACTGACCAGGGGGCCTAGAATCATCTGTGGGTCACCACTGGTATGGCAATTCTGTGCCTGGGCTGACTGGAGGGAAGCTCCCTCAACTGCCAGGCACGGGCATCTGGAGGGGCTTCTCACCATTGTGAGGAATGTGGGTGAGCGACACACTGAGAGGCTGCTAGGGGATCTCTCAGAGTCTCTCTGCGCCCCCGGCACACAAATTGTTTTTAGAATTCAAAGCTCTTCTCCCCTGGTCTTTACTATGTCAGAACAAATCCACCATGCTCCTAACTGCACTAATAAATGGTCTCTTAAATAAGATTTTGCCCTGACCTAGATAGCTCCAGCTAGTAAGATCTTGTGAGGTCTTGGAAGCTAAGCAGGGTCTACCTGGTTAGTATTTGGATGGGGGACCACCAAAGAATACCAGGGTCACTACAGAGGCAGGCAATGGCAAACCATCTCTATTAGTCTCTTGCCTTAAAAACCCTATGGGGTCGGCTAAGACTTAACAGCCCCCCCCCATAGTAAGATTTTGAGGTAAAGAGTGATCCACCACCCTACGTGGCACGAGTGATCCACCACTTAGTGTACACTGGAATGGAACTAACTGCCGAGGTGCCATTAGGTATAGGTAGATTTTAAATTAGTACCTAAAATTTTAATCCTGTTGTAATTAATGACTTCATGTATTACTGTTTTATGGAATTGTTTATTGTTCTGTACCAGGGTAGGGCGGGATAAAAACAGCATAAATAAATAAATAAAGCAACCCTGAAAAGATGGTGAATCCCAGGACACCCTATGCTGTTTTGATGGAGAATTACCTGTTCAGGTCTTAAATTGTAAGAAGACAACATTTTATACACAGTCAACCTATGAGAGAGGCCTTTTCATAATTAAAAATTACATGGTTTGCAGAAACACTAATGAAATTTCTTGATACCTTGTCATACTTACACAATGCCAAGAAAGCATGTTTCGAAGCCATTAAAACTAGCACTCTTCGAAGGATATCCTTGTTAATAATGTAGTTTTTTATATGATATGTGTGATGTTCCACGCAGAAGGTTAATAATTCTAGTATCAAGGCCAACAGCTGGGCTGTCTGAAAGTCGTCTAAAATAAAGAATACTACAATTAAATGTCGACCAAGTCAGAATGGCATACTGTGGGAGTAATGCAGCTGTGCAACACTTCCTGAAACTTCATAGCTTCATTTTTATTTGATTCATTTATAACCTGCCTTTCTCCCCAATGGGGACCCCAAAGCAGTTTACATCATTCTCATCGCCTCCATTTTATCCTCACAACAACCTTGTGAGGTAGGTTAGGCTAAGAGTATGACTGGCCCAAGGTCATCCACCAAGCTTCCATGGCACGAGTGGGGATTCAAACCTGGGTCTCCCAGATCCTAGTCTGACACTCTTTAACAACTACACCACAGCAAGACACACCCAGCCCAAGTATCCTTCTTACAGGAACTCAGGATCCCCCTGCTTGTCCTTGTGTTCAAACAACATCTGCTGAGAGCACATGAAGGATCCAGCTACACAGGATGGAACTATGTACACAAAGATAATTCCCAGTGGCAACCAATGGTGGGTGTCTTAAAGTACACACTTTTATCTCCCCCATGTAAGTGAATCATTACTATGCACTGTGCTTGGGACTAGTGTTGTAGTGAAAGTGAAATCTGTACTCCACTCCTGGCAATGGGCATTCTTAGTTTTACTAATAGCGATCCTACAGAGGTGTGTGCCCTCTGTACAGAGGTGTGTGCAATATATTATTCCTTTTCTCCATAAGTGACCCCACCTGTCATCCTTTTTCTAGCTATAAGACAACACGGCAAAATTCAACACCTCGCGAGTCTCACCTTTGCTAGGTTTTTCCTCTGTGGTATTGGCCAATAGAGGTGCTGTGAGAACATGCATACAATGCTTGTAAAAGAAACCCAGGAATTCTGTTTTTTCTGTTTTCTGTGGAATAAAAAGATATTCATTCATACATTACACACATTAATCAAAGTGTTTAAGAACCGTTTCCCCCTTCCTCCATTATCATCACTACAGACATTAAATATTCAGGTATCTGCTTACATTGGCAGTAGCTAGCATATTTTCTGGATCCACCAAGGTACGTAGTAAACCCATCAGCTGGACTGCTCCTCCCAGTTCAGGATCTGTATCACAAATCATGTGTTCTATGATGAGGTTAATGAGTAAGATATCCTGGTTTAAGAAAATAAAGTTAAAAACCAAACAGGTTAGTCACAAGTAACATACAAACTGAGAAAGACACCAACAGAGAAATTCAGATAAAGGAAAGATTGCAAAGAACTGTGCGATTACTTCAGTGTACTAAATGAAGCTGTGGACTTGTGGTGTTTGTTTAATAACAGCCTCTCAATGCTGAATGGCAAATCACTATTAAAACTGGGAGGAGTTTTAAAAGGCACAGGATGGTTTGCTGTACAAAGGGGTGGGTGGTTTTAAACTCAGAAATTCCAGACAACACATTGGCATATTCTTGAGCATGCCTGAAGCAGCTCTGCACGTGCTGATCAAAAACTTTAGGATGGAGTCAAAAGCGATTCTGAGATTTTATATTGCTACACATTTGACTTTTCATCATTTCAATAGAAGCACTCCTTCCCTATAAGGGGTAGAGATCACCAGAGTGCTGCCTACTTGGGCAGAAACAGGAGAGGCTGTGCTAGCTCTGCCTTTTCTCCAAGAATTCAACCCAGAAAAGGCAGAAACAGTCTACACCATTCTGTGGCTGAGCATAATATAGCAGGATATTCCCCCTCCAAAAAATGTAGGAACACCGTTGGCCTGGCAGGAAGTTTCCTCACCTTCTCCCATTCAGAGAATAGAGAGGACAAGGTTCCCAGCAACAGCTGCAATAGTTTCTCTCCATTATTTGCTCTGTGAGGGAGGCAAGAGGGACACGCATATGGGGAAGATCAAACCACTCAGTACCACTACAGATGATCCACAGTTCCAGAATTTACTGCAGAACCCAAGTTGTGCATATAAGGTAGGGGTTTTTTTAAACATGGGGAACTGAAACCTTAAAAGAAACACTTTATATCTGATAAAAAAGCAGCATCTAGAGGCTTGAGTTAAATTCAGAGTGCTGTGAGCAGAGCTATGCGCTCAGAATGAATCTTTTCCACCTTCTCCTTTCTGCAGCCCACTAAAAAGCCTTTGAGTCTGGAGCCCACTCAAGAGGAAGGGGACGATGTCTGCTGCATCCTCCTTCCAACTGCAGCCCCTGTGCTGCATACCAGGATGTTCCTAATGGTCAGTAAGCTATCAAGGATGGTCAGTCAGCTATCAAAGATGGCTTTCAGGGGACTACTAAAGGTGAAGTTGGGTGTTTCTGTGGATGCCAGTTGTCAAAGTTTACATCCAATCCTCCCCCCTTTTAAGTTGCTTTATAAAACATAAATCTTATTAAAGTGTTAAGATATAAAAGTATTATAGGGTTCTCACTCAGTATTATCTTTGACATCAACAGAAGGTTGCTTGTTGCTAGAAGCAGGTTTATGTAAAAGGGCATGCTTTGATGCAACTGTTACTTATACAGTGCCCCACCTGTGTAATGTGATATTTCAACGTGACATCACAGGAAGAGACTGGCACAAAACCTATGTTGAGCACGGCATATTTACTTGTTATGGATTGTGTATTATGGAAAACCTGCACCCTATTTGCTAAGTAATTCATCATTAGGGGTGTGCATTTGGCATAAACTGAGCCCCCCCCCCCCAATACCTAGAAAATACCTTACTTGCATTTTCTGGGTATTTTCTAAGCCAGTTACTAAATGGGGCTGCGTTTCGGCTATCCAAAATGGCCAAGCTCTAAAACTCCTGAAAATATTCGAGATTTTCGGGGTCGCTGGATAGCAGAACTTAAAGGGATCGCAGCCCCTCTCAATGCCTTCTCCAAGCCATGTAACTCTGCGGCAACTTCACCTGGAAAGCGGTTAAAGGGTTCTCAGTCACTTTAAATGTCTTTTGGGTGAACTTGCCATTTGAGATATTTAAAGGGACTGTGAGCCTTTTAAATGCCTTCGAACTCTTGTCACAGAGTTGCACAGCTTGGAGAAGGCATTTAAGAGCACTGTGATCCCTTTAAATGCCTTTCCCCCTCCACTGGAAACAGTGGAGGATGGGGGCACCTTCTCTGGGGCCCCACAGAACTGGACCCCCAGTCCAATCTTTTTTAAATAGTTGAGAGGTTTTTTTGAGGAGAGGCACCAGCAGCTATGCTGCAAATTTGGTGCCTCTACCTCAAAAAGCAGCCCTCCCGAGCCCCAGATACCCCTGGATCAATTCTCCATTATAGTCTACGGGTATAATGGAGCCAAAAAAAATAGGCTTTCCTGAATATTTACCAAATCCAAATACCATACCAGTACTCGGATTTTGAAATATTGGGAAATACCGATATTTTTCAGGGTCAATATATCCAAACCCGAAAAATACCAGGTTTGGGGTTTTTTTGTACACCCCTACTCCCCATATGCCAGTGCAGTTTCAAAATTTGTTTCAGGGTCTAACATACTATGTATCATAACCTCCCCATTCAGCCGATAGCACCTCAGATGTTTTGCTGTTTCGTAGGATTTATTTTTTTTAAAGCAAAAAAAATTAACACAAAGACTTGTATTAAATATATTCTAAGATTTACACAATGGAAAAGCAAAGCAACCCATCATCTAAAGAAATGCCATCGTTCAAAACTACTGATGCAAAGCATTAGTATATAGTTCCGAGTTGAAAAGTCATTCCCATGTTTACAGCAATACTTTTATCAGCAGACTTAAGCTACTTTATACTGTCATGGCCATTTTTTTCTCAACACAGAAAGGGGTGGACTTGGCAGTGATTTTCACAACTGTGGGGTTTCCAAAGATTAGCACAAAGAAAACAGAAAATAATTATGTGAAACAATTCTCAGACATTATCCCCATACAGATTTTCCTCCTTATCTTGTGTGACTCCCTCCCCGCCTCCCACTGATAGCTCTTAACCATGATATAGTATTAGATCTAAACCAATGTTAGCTGTGGTTCATGACAGCTAGAGTCCCCAACACCAGGATTTAAAACTCATGGTGAAAGCTGATAAAAGAAAGGAGTATGCATTCCTAATCTGTAACTGTGATTTGCAGGCAGCTGGCATTACATCTGCACCAGATGATTAAGGAAAACTGTATTACACAAAACTATTGGTAGCTTCCAGAAGATACGATAGCACACCCCTTAGTAAAAGAATATACAAACATCTTTCTGAATTTCAATAATTAAACATAGCTTTTGTCAAAAGTTATTCTAAAAATCATCAATTATTAATGAAACATTTCTTACAGAAACAGTATGTTGTTAGAACCCACTTACATCATCATTCTGCTGAGCTTCTTGCATGACAAATTCTCGTACCATAGATGGGTTGTATTCAACCAAATATGAAAATATATCAGTAGCTGCGCTTCGCACTTGTGCATCATCCATTCCCTAAAGTCAAACAAAAACAAGGCTATAGTACTAAGCTGAGGAAGTCCAAAGGCTAAAGACTAAAACCATCACTTCATTATTTTCCTTGGTTAAGCACAAAACTGCACAACACTCTGGGAGTTCTGTGGTCAGATATCCCAAGATGTTTCTAAAAAGCAGCCAAAAGGGACCACAACACAAGGGGGTAAGGGTGCACACGTTAGCCTTTTATCTCATACAGCTTTACTGTGGATATGATATAAATAGCACACATTTATAAACTTTTTTTTTGCTACTAAAAAAACTACCCCAACATGATAATACAGAATTGAAACTATTTAACTACCACATATACATAAAAACACTAGAGGGTCTGAAAAGCAAGATAAATGTTTAAAAATAAACTTTGAAAACTCACTAGGATGACTTCTAGTGCTGGAAGAATGCCCATGTTAGACAATGTTTTGAAAAAAGCATCTCTGTTTTGAGGTTGTAATGTTTGAGAAAATGCACAAAACTCTTTAAGAAAGTTTACCTAAAAAACAGAAAAGAACTTGTTTTAGAGAAACATGATGTAGGAACTGCCTTCTTACACTCACTTTAAACACACTTACCAATTCTTGTCTTTTCTCCTCATCTGTGGCTTCATCTGTAAGTTGTGCAAACAGCTCAGTCAAAAATTTTTCATCTTCCTACAAAAGCAATCAGTATTACATTTACCATACCAATAAAAATTTGGAAATCCACCCAATACACTAATTACAAATCTGATAGTTTTAAAAGGCAAATACGTACATATTTGTTATACTTTATATTTAACAATGATATAAAGCAGCTGTATTGTTTCTTAAAATGCAAATACCTACCTACTTGAAATGCTAGAGATAACCCACCAACAATAAGCTACATTTCATTTTCCTACTTACATATTGTAAAAACAACAGCCTGAGGGCTCAGACCAAAAGGTCATTCTAGTTCAAATTCAGTAATGAATTTGAAATTCCCAAACTATGACCATTTCCCATCCAAAAATTTAAGAATTAAGTGAGGGATCCACAAGCATTTGCAGGGGGGAGATCTCATTTTCCCCTCCCAAAACAAAACTCATAGCTTCTTTCCTTTTGGTGCTTTGTTTTCTCCTTCTCACCCACTACCACACCAACCTTTATCTGCCCCCCTCTTCAGCTTTCCCTCGTTTCCCCCTCCTTGGCAGTTTCTCCCTGAAAAAAGTTTAGCCATCACTTGTGGGCCTGACTGAGTTGCGTGGAGAGCAAATCTCTGGTGGTGGGTGGCCACCTAGCCTGTCCTTGGCAAGTTTTCCTCCATCGGGGACATGAGAGGGAGAGGAAGTAGGACTTTCCCCAAGGTTGTTTGGCCCCCCAGTCCACCCCCGTTCCTCCATGGCTTCACATCATGGACATCAAGGTTTAGAAGAGTCAGTACTATTGTTGTGGTTGCCTAAGCTACCCCCAAAATGGCCACTGAGATCTCAGAATGTAACTTCTGTGGATATTCTTTTCTTAGAGCTACAGATGGTTTTCTATTATTCTGGGGAGTTTTAATCCCCCAATGCAGTTTTTAAGATTTTAGATTTTTCTGCAAACCTGGCTCCGTATTCAGATTTGTAAAGAAATCCGTCTGTCCCTGGCTCCACTTCACACAATTTTGATCCACAGTCTAAGGTCTGGTTCAGAATTAGATATATGATGTTGCATTGTAGGTGTACCTAAAGTTTCTTTGTACTGAGTGAGGTCTCTTGCCATTTTGTAATTTCTTATTCTATACCACTAAACAACACTCTCTATTCTAAACCTTACTGCCTATGCAAACCGGTGTAGTAGGACATGAAACTGTACTCTCTAAGCCAGTGGTTCTCAACATGTGGGTCGCAACCCCTTTGGGCGTCGAACGACCCTTTCACAGGGGTCGCCTAAGACCATCGGAAAACACAAATTTTCGATGGTCTTTGGAACCGAGACACATCCTGCATATCAGATATTTACATTACGATTCATAACAGTAGCAAAATCAGAGTTATGAAGTAGCAACGAAAATAATTTTATGGTTGGGGGTCACCACAACATGAGGAACTGTATTAAAGAGTCGTGGCATTAGGAAGGTTGAGAACCACTGCTCTAAGCACTCAATGTGGCATTAGAATTAAGTCTAAGTCTATGCATTTTGGATTCTGTACCCATAGGCCTTCAAACTGCATAAGGGCCACTCCAACACTGCATCTAACATATAAAGACAAGGCTGGACAAGCATTCCCAGCAAGCATGACCCTGTTCTTCTAATGCATATACACTTGCCCAACTTCAGACACGTGCAAAAAAGCATCAACAACTAATTAGTAGCAAATAGGGCCCACATCTTCCAAGTACAAAAATAATTTTCTTTGAGGAATGCACGCATACCACAGTATCCAAAGCACGGACCAATAGGTTTCTCTTTCCACAGTGAATACGCAGACTGGGCAGCCACTGATGTATTGATTGTCCTTCAATGTACTTGTTGCAAAGAAATACACATGCCATATTATGGTACCTACAAATCATCCTATACAGAAATCATTTCTGTATATCAAAAACAGTGTGATACAGACCCAAGAACTATAACACAAGCACCACTATGTTAATTTGTACAATTCTAATACTGAAGCAACTTCTGGCTAACTTATATACCTAAATACAATCAAGAGTTATGCGGGTCATCCACTGCATTCTCTATTTCAAGCATTTATAGTGAGCACTCAAATAGGAGAGTTTACAAATCCCTGCATAAACCACCACAGTAAATCAGGTCCTGGTAAATAATTTCTTTTTATTCCATCGATTTTGTTAACTCCCCACCCCCCCGTGATTACTGAAACTGCTCTTTTTCAAGAACAGCTCTTATCAGAACTATGGCTTGCCCAAGGTCATCCAGCAGGTGCAAGTGGAGGAGTGGGGAATCAAACCCGGTTCTCCCAGATTACAGTCCACGCACTTAATCACTACACCAAACTGGCTCTGAGGCATTTCACCCTGCTTTCTGCTCCCTGACAAAAGCAGCTGCAAGCAGAAATCAGTGGGTGAAATGGCACTGAGTTATTTCACCCCCTGGTTTCTGCTCCCTGCCACTATTGGCAACAAGCAGAAAGCAGGGAGTGAAATGACTCCGAGCCATCTCACCCTCTGCTTTCTGCTCCTTGCCAAAAGCAGTGGTGAGCAGAAAGGAGGGGTTTAAATGGCTCCAAACAATTTAAACCAAACTGCTGAGCGGCAGGGAGCAGAAAGCAGGGGTTTAAATGGCTCAGAGCCATTTAAACCCCTGCTTTCTGCTCTTCACAAACCGCCACTGCCTTAACATTTGTGGAAAGTTTGTGGCGGCTCTTCAGTTCGCAGACATCGCTTCACAAACTACGAACCAGCCAAAATTCATGACAGACTTTAATTCGTGAGCCAGGTCATGCCCATCCCAGCATTAAATCCTCCAGCCCAATTTAGTTTGCTATCTACTATACAATCTCAATGTTATATTGTTCTTCTAAATATACAAATTTCACTTTTGGTCTTGTTAAGATTTATTACTTGATCAACTTTCCAGCCTGAAGCAGTTTTGAATGATTAGCCACCTCTTTGAATTGTTTATAGCTTATTATGAATAAATATACCCCATTTTCTGCTTTTAACTTTACTTGTGAAAATGAAGAAAATGAGTCAGATACATGTACTGTTCTACAAGGATTATTATCAGCTTATAAAAATAATTAATTGCATATTGAATTGGTTTTACTGAAGTATTTATTTAGCTTATGGCAGTTTCTTCTACCCACATTTCTTTATTTCATCCTTTGAGATATGTGAAAGTCGCTAGCACATATCTCCATTGATGAAAGATACACTCTCATCAATGGAGAAAGATACATTTGTCTTTAAAGCTAAAGTTTCTTTTGAAAGTGGCTATTAAATGTTCATAATTAACAGTATACTTAAAAGTAGTGGTCTGCTGTAATGTTACAACATCTCAAGATGATGAAATTGAACACCACATTTAGAAAATGTAAATAATGCTAAAAATATATATCAATTATATTATGACCATTACATTCATTAATTACAAAATATAAAAGTGTTACAAAAAGGTAAAGGCCACTTTCAATGTATGCAAACAAAAGAGAGAGATCACGGGATGGAAGTTGAAAGGAAGCAAACAACCGTGATGTATAGTGCCAAAAAGAAGGTTCTTCACAGACTTGTAAATTCTTTTTTCAGTATTCAGTTTCCTGGAAGTAATTCAAAAGCCATCAACACCAACCAACCATGCATAGTACATCTCGTTTCGTGTATATCTTTATCAAAGTGGGTAGAGTTGAAATACCAATATAATATTAATCCAAACTCTAGAGGGTTTGCCAAATGGATTAATATTATATAGGTATTCGCTGGTGTTGATGGCGTTTGAATTACTTCCAGTAAACTGAATACTGAAAAAAGAATTTACAAGTCTGTGAAGAACCTTCTTTTTGGCAGTATACATCACGGTTGTTTGCTTTCTTTCCACTTTCAATGTATGGCACAGCATTCATTTGATATTCTTTGATATACTATGTGCTACAGAAAGTATCGTATACGCCTGATCGGGATCTGATAAATTTGAAATACCATCTACATCACATTCTAGCAAGGCCTCTGCTGTTCTCCACCTATAGTTAATGATCAGCTAAAGTTATCTCTGTCCTGGCCCAATGCTGACAGTTTCCATTTTCAACTTTTAAATTTTACCTACTCAACAACTACGGAAAATATATGCTTAGGATTACACTAGACATGACAATGGGGGGATCCATTCATACTATTTTTAATCTTTAAACGGTAGCTGCATAAAGCCCTGATTCAGCCTGGAATCCTGGTTCAGGAGGAGGAGGATAGCAATTTTCCCACTGTGCCATTTTTGTGAACTGACCCCTCACACATTGTTATTTGCCCTGAGATACAAAGCAGGTCCTTACATTCCATTCCCCTTGTGAGGCAAATAATTGTCCAGGAACAACACTAAATCCACTTCTACTCCCAAAGTTTCCAATTCATTTGACAGCCATGCAGTCTATATTTTTTTTAAAAAATTGTTCAACTGATCAATTTTGTTAGTTATTTTAATTTGATAGTTTCAAGGATAATTTTTAGACCTTCCAAAGAGAGACTTAAGCCTAAGACTGATTGTTCAAGACAGTTGCCAGCATATCATCATAAAATGTTCCACTCTAATGTTCCACCTTTCATCCCAGCAGAAAACCACAGAAACTAGGTGTATGTACAAATTAAGCTGCTTTAAACCATTACAGATGTCTAAATCTAATCTAATCTGACTGGAACGGAGTCTCCATGTTCACAGGCAGAGAAAGGTCTTTTCCAACATTTGCTGAGATTATTCAATGGGAGATGCCAATGACTGAACGTGGGACCATCTATACGCAAAACATATACCCTGGCATTGAGCGCTGTTCCCTTATGCAAGAAGAGGGCAGAATGCAAAAGTTTCTGTATGTGCAAGTAACTGCCTATACAGTTAGGGCAGTTAAGCGTAAGAAAAATAATTGAACCATGCGGTGGGAGTTTTCAGAAAAAAATTAGAAGTGGGAAATTTTTCAATGTCAAAAATAGTGCATGACATGATTTAACATTTATTTCAACTTGCATTAAGTAATTTCATGTTCCAACATCAACAAATCCTTGAACTGAAATATTTAATTAGGAAAAGAAAAATCATGTGATTCAAATGTTATAGTTAAATTCAAAGTTTTATATGGGAATTATTTTTACGGGAATAAAGTAAAAAATGTAAAGAAAATATGACATACACTTACTTTACACTGTTTGAATTTAAGTTTGAAGACACTAAAAGTTGTTGACACACAAATTTTAGCACACCCAAAGAACTGTGCATGATATGTGACAGGCTTGTCCACTTATCTGTTTCAACAGAATTGAACTTTTGTTCGTGACGGTTACACTGCCTCTTATGTCAAACCAAAGCTAAAATTTCTATTTATGTATCTCTTCTCACATGATAGAAGGAATACTGTAATCATTGATCAAATGATTTTGTAAACACTGAATTGGTGGTTTTACTCCCCTAGCCACAGAGTACAAAGCACTAAACAACACAACTCCTAGTCTAGAAAAATTAATTACAACTTTGAAACTGCCAAGTTGCCTAATACTGTATTGTCAACGGCATTCAATATCAGTTTGAAAAAACACTGAATCTTTAGAAATGGAAAATTTTCCACAAACAAAGCATTAGAAAATCTTCCTAATCTCTGCAAAAAACTATAAATAGGTAAGAATGGACTGAATCACGCTGATGTATAAACGTGCTAAACAAAAACACTCCACTGTATGTTTTTATTGCTTTGCTCAATCTATTTGTTTCCTATGCTGTCTGGAATAGAATATGATCTAGTTACCCAGAATGCTGTTAATGTTAAGTATTTTTGAATGACTGAACAGGAAAAAAATAAACAAGTAATCAACCAGGTGATATACTCTCAGTCTCAAACTTTCACACAGTTTTCACAAACTCAGCCATATTCAAAACTGGCAATACACTGCAAGAATCTGCTGTGAATTTCTGAGGATCACAGATTTCATTTAACACACACAAGGTTCTAGAACACACAGTTACATAAGTGTGTTTGAAAACATGCAGTATGTTCTGCAAAAGGCACCAGGGGCATACAGAGCACAGCTTGTATGTCCCATGTGACTATCTTACAGCAGCCAGTCACTTCCTTCCCATTTATCATACCTTTTTGACTCTCTCCTGCCTATCATAAAACCTCAAAAAAGATGCTGCTACAGTAATTCAAAAACTGATTTATAAAAAAGCATGTATGCAGACCTATAAACCTGACTCAGTACTAAATGATGTACTGTAATTTTGTCACATACTTTGAGTTTTCCTTTCGCAATGCCAACGGCTTTCCCACTTTTTATAAGGAGAAAGACTCACCAAATACGTATGTATGTCCTAAAGACTCACTATTCACTCTCTCTGAAGCAAAATGTTGCCTCCCCCTAGAGCTTCTTAGTTCTCAGAGAACTCAGCATCCATTGATGGCAATGAAGCACCCATCAACAACCCCTCCCCGCATATGTTGGGTCCTGACTTTTTTGGCAGCACTTAACAAGTACAGAGCTTCAGAAAGTAGCAAGGAAGCTAACTGTCAATGTGGTACTAAGACCAGTTTTGCAGGATAAAAACCATTAAGCTGAGTTTGTATGAACACATGCCAAATACTATGGAAAGGCATGCGAGAAGACCAGGCCCACAGCTTTGGTGGGGCATTTAAAAGCTCCACCCCCTCAAATGTGAGGCATGCCCCACAACAGCTGCTGCCCCTCTCCCCCATGACATTAAAAGGGCTCTCCAGCTGGTCAGGGGGAACAGGTGGCCCACCAATCAGCTGGAAGGCCCTTTAAACCTTGCAGCCGCCACGTGGATATCAGAGAAGGTGTGTGGCCCCCCCCCCCCCCGCTGCCTCACAAAATTTCTTTATGCCCCACCAACCCAAAATTTCTGGCTACGGGGTTGGACATGATGCAGTTTCATTTCAGGACATGTATATATGGAGCAAACTGGAGGAAAAAACAAAATCTTGACAATCTTTTTTGTAATAAAGTTTGGTATTTGCAATAAAAAGAGATGTTGTTGTGTAGTAAATTCATAGGCTTTATGCAAGAAACAGAGTGCAGAATAACAGAAGACAGAATTAGAAAGTTGAAACCATTCAGAACGTAAGTAGGCTTGCAAATCTCAGCATCCCAAAAGGAAGACTTTGCATAAGTGTCTGGAAATCATTAGTTTAGGTAACGAAGCACTGACGATTCTAACTCCAAAATTCTGTACCTTCTAGGCATGTGAAATGGCCTACTACGTTTAACATTATGACTCCAAAGCAGGGCCACCAGACAAGAGAAATATCCAATCAACAACAAACTAGATTTACATTAAAAAGTAGCACACTTACCTGTAACATACCAACTATTTCTACTTTATTAAAAAAGATGAATGAATGAAGAGTTGATAACATGTTTTCCTCAAATACCGAAGGCGTCGGTAGAACCATATCTTGAATATACTGCACTCTGTATGTTTGATGTATTTTTTGTTTTAGCTCTGGATCTGATATTGGAATAACTTCTTTAAATTTTGCAGTTTTTGTTAGAAACTCCCTGTGTTTCCGTGACAGTGACAAAGACGGATCATATTCCAGACATCCAATCACATCCATTATACATTCCTCAGAAAACATGACTTCAAAAAGTGCAGTTCTATTCAAAAGGAAGATTCCCTTAATAATTTCATATAAATGGTGCAGTCCTTCAATGTTTTCCAAGTCTTCACACACGTGAAAAATTTCTAAGAGCTTCTTAATGTAGCCCTCATTTTCCAGTGCTAGAGCAAGTTTTTCACGACGTAATGGGGAAGGCAGTGAAGATGCTACAAGTTCCGCAATTTCCTCTAATCGACTTAATTCACAAGATGGCAATTCTAGACCTGGTGATGACATATCATCAAAGCGCTCCTCTTCAGATTCATCCACCAAGTCCTGCGTAATGTCCACTGAAGGGTCTTTTCCTTGAACCTATTAAAGTGTAAGAAAACCAGAAGGTACCTTTTCATATTCTACTGTCAAATCCTATTACTATGCAGGATTTTGTCCATGAAAAAAACACAAAGTATTTTTTGCTGTAAAGCCAGGAATCTTAGCAAACAGGCAGGACCAAAGAGTAAGGTCTGGATTTACGCTCCTATGAATTGAAGAAGCCTAGGTAAACACACTTTTGAGGGCCACAGGATCCTTGAGAACAGTGTGCTATTGGGGGGGGAGGGGGCTGCAACAAGATGGAAGAAGCTGGATAGAATCACTTCCCCACCAACAATATCCTGGTATGAGCTTTTTGCTCTACCAATTAAACAGGGAGTGGGAGGATTTTGTTTGATCATGACTTCTTGCTGCAACCACCCACTCCACATATTAGATCCAAGCGCTCTTTGCCCATATTTTTTAAGTGTCCCAATCCCCCGAGGTTTTACAGGCACACAAGAAAGATCCACTTTTGTGAACTCCCTCTGTCTGCAGAAACCTGGTTCTAAATAAGTCTTGTACTCACTGGGGTAGGAACAGGTGGCAAGAAAAGAGGATTGGCTTTACCATGGCAGATTAAGCATGATAACACAAGAATCACCAATATTTTCTTCAGACATTTAGTTATGCTATACCAGTGGTTCTCAAACTCAAGCAAACAGGGGAACCTGTTTTGATTTTAAGATTTTTTTTTACAGACTCCCCAAAGTTTCCCTTCCTCTTTCACCCCAACATCTGCCATCTGCCAAAAAGTCCAATGGAAGCCTCCATCCTCATGTGTCCTCAAAATAATACAGTGAGAATCACATCAGCTAAATTTCACAGCAAGGTTAATTAAAATGATAGTATTGTTTGCACATGGCTCACAAGCTCAGATCTGTAGGGCCACAATTCAAAATGCCCAACCCAAGTTCCAGTCAACCTCATCTATTGACAGGAGAGGACTTTGTCCCATAGACAGCAAGAAACTTCTTGATTTATTAACAGCCTCCAGCCAGAGACACACTGAACAAGAGTGAGGAAAGAACTTCCCCCTTCCCAAGTGGATAAAAAATAATAACAACCTAGCATCATACAAAAGCCAAACTTCCAAAATTAAGCTGAAGATCACCATTGGTGGTTATTGTCTCTGGACACAGATTGTCATCTCTTTTTCAGCTGAAACCATTTGCATTAAAAAACAGTTAACTTTATACCTGAAATAACTCTGATTATTAATTCTTGTTAGTCTCTAAGGGGCTACTAGACTCCTGTAACAGGACTGTACCTCCCTGGTACTACTCAGTCAATCAGGAGTTCCTTGGGCTGAGCTACAGGATCCCAGCAACCAATCAGCACATTTTCTAGCTAATGCTCCAAGATGATCTGGAGGCTAGATGACTGTGGGGGGGGCAGCTCAATGAGCTCCCACCATTTGAAAGAGGAGGAAGCCAATTTTATCCCTTTCTACTGAGACAGAATCCGTCCCCCAATTCCTAGAAAAGCAAGAGGGCTCCACATTTACATCAGCCAGAAAGTTGTAAGAGGGGCTCATCCTCTATACTTACAAAAGATTCTCAGACCCCCCTAGAGCACTGGTTCACAACCTTACTGCTCCTAAAGAAAACTCTATATTTACCACTGATTGGTCTAACCTCTAATGAATGAGTACCAGAAAATGCTGTAGACATACTATCCCATATACCATCCTGGACAGAATGGTAATCTAAATCAAGACTGAGGCTACCATATTAAAAAAAAATGCCACTGTTTCTTCAGTAGTTCACTGAATTACATAAGTCTGCAAGACGACCTACTTCAATTTGTTATGTAGCATTCACTGAAAAGCTATTTTCAGAATATCTGAAAAGATATTCTCAGATATCAAAATCTAAAGCAGTGCCACATAGAAAATAAGCTTGAACATGAAGGAAAACACTGCTGTCCATTTAAATGTAACTGGGGTGAACTATGCTTAAGAGAGTCAAAAAAGAAAACTTACCTGACATATTTTTTCCCATATTTCATCACATCCAGCTTTTTCTTGAAAGCTAAGTGCAAGGTCATAGTTCTCTGCCTCAGACCACACAATCAAAGTGTCCTTGAAATGTAAAAACGTACGTTTAGCTGAGCTATATTTAGCATAATATTTAACATAGTATTTTCTGATGTCTTATTTAGTCCACAAATAATATGACAGTAAATTTCTAATTACATTAGAGACACCAACATTAGAACACTACCTGCTTAAGCACCGCACATCCATGGCACAATGGCAGCAGCCACAGCCTACTAGTCTTAACAATCTGGCATACACTGCCCACCAATCTGTGGGCCATATATGAACCCTTTTAAAAAGCCATTTATACCAATGCCAAAATTCTGCAAAAAGCCGATGAATTCCTGTGCATTAGATCCAAAGAACTGCTGCTGGTGCTCTGCCCATGGAACATGATGTTGTTATCTCCCCCTTCATACTGCAGCCCCTGTATTCTGAAAAGAGATACAGGGGAGGAGCAGTAGTGAATTGGAAGAAATTGCTTGCCCTTCTTGCCTGAGTGGAAGTGCCCCAGCTCTACAATGCACATCTGGATCCAACATAATGTTTTGTGTGAAACTGTATTACATTATGGTTCTCCTATCTGCTAAGGGACCACATTCTTATGAAGACAGGATTGCTTTTTCACTCTTCTGCTTCTCTCATGACCTTCAGCTTCTTCAGTTGCCATATACTTCAGGCTATCTTTACAAAATAATCCAGCCCTGCAATAATTCTAAATTGCCTTCTTCTTAAATTCTATACTTTAACTTCTATGTACGGAACATAATACATATAGTGTAATCCTAAACAGTGCTACATATGCTGTACAACCCTAAACAGAGTTACACACTTGTAGGCCTACTGCCTTCAAATGACTTAGAAGTGTGTAACATGATAATATTCTAAATATGGACTCCAAAGACTTACATAACAGCATTATAATACTTGCTCCTACACTAACTACACAGTGATTTCTTTTCAGTCACTTTCCTGCCACAGCACACCTACAAAATTCCTACATGGAGATTAGAGTTTGCTCATTAACCACACATTTATTCATACTGCTTTTTCATCCTTTTCCAGTGACCAGCAGTTTCCTTATAAACTTCTGGTGAGAAGAATTTGTTACCAGTTATACTGCTTCCATAGGAGCACCCCTACCCTTGTCTGGTAAATTTAACAGGTTGTTTAGATATATGACTTGCAGAACCTTGGTAATTTATTAAACTACATGTGACTTATTACATTTCTGTTAATAGCACTGTGATTTTACATGAATTGAATCTGGACCTAGCAACTTGTTACTATTTAGCTTATGAACCAGATCCTGTGTGACTCTATTTCATGCAGTTTTCTTGGCGAAAATGGCAGAAGTGCTGTTTTCTCTTTAACACCTTTGAGACCACACAGATGTGAACAACTCATTTAGTTTTTCTTTAACATCCCTATTTTCACAGACAGCAAAAAATGTAAAATTTAGTAGACAAGGCTGGTCAGCTCTCACTGGCATGGTTGGATTAACAACAGCACTGTTTTTTTGGGTCTAAGAGTTAAGGGGCGATTGGTATATCACCAGAAGCAGTGGCAACTTCTTTCCATCCTGTTCTAGCAACCACTGGGTAGCAATGCTGCCCTATCTTCAACAGGTTAGTGGCTGAGAGGTGAGCCATGACATCAACATTTACCACATTATTCCTGGATGCAAACATTACCAGAGCAGTACTAGAAGCCAGGAGACAGCTCTGGTACTGCTGGCAGTGACATGGGTTTTCCAGAAAAAATCGAACCAGAAAAATTTCCATTTCAACTTTAAATAAATAATTTAAATATTTCAGTAACAGTAAAATTCAAGTAATGCTACTGCAATTTGTCAGTGCTTCATATCTCACATTCAGCCCAACTAAGAAGACTGATGTGTAGTAGTACAGCCCTGACAACTATATATAAACTGACAATATTTACATATGGGGGGGATGTTTCCATGGAGAAATAGTTTTCTGCCTCCTGTCACTGGCTGGCAGAACTATGAATCCTAGGTTTGAGTCTATAAATTAGCATGGGCAGCTTCATATCTAATTTGCTTATACAGCTACATTGTTAGTTAAGATCTGACTCTTTTCCCCTTCCAATAATGCTGTATATTATCTACTGTCTGCATCATCTAAACAGTGAGGTTAAGAGCTTGACATTTATAGACGCATCTAGCCCACAATCACTCCAGCAAGCTGCAGTAGTCAGCAACATTTTAGTACATCTAGTTTAAAGAATTACAATGAAAGGAGTACACACCACTAAGACCAGTGAGTTAACAGGCATGTAAGTAACAAAGAATCATTGAGGCAGTCTTAAAAATATACAAAACTTACTGCTTTTTTAAAAAAGAAGCTTCAGTTTAGCTTAATGGCATGCTTACACTTAAATGGAATAACCATAAGATTGTGGAATATCAGCCATTCTTATTAACCACTATTCTACTTATTAACAGTGGAACAGTTTTGTAAGCTGATTTTTGTAAGCTGATAGAAGCTTTTAGTCAAAAGTAGTGATTTTGGCAAGAATAGTCCTTACAACTCAGCCAGATCTTCAAACAACAGTTAAGTCATTTATATAGAAAGATACATATATACAGCAAGCACATACATTGACACACATCCATTTGCATGTTAGAGAAGCACATTCCAGGTGTCAACAAAACTGGGATCCTGCAGTTTTCACAAATAGTGAACAAGCCTACAAATATATAATTTGGTATGCAATTCAACAGGTGCAGAAGGGCAGAAAAGTTGGCATTCACGTCATCAAAATGTTTTGTTCTTTAAATAAATCTCAGCATGTGACATGAAAGAGGACAGGAACTCTCTACATACTGCTGAAGCAAACTCCTTGCAGTGATCTTTACCCAAAGTATAACTGAAGGATTCAGCACAGTTTCTTCCCAATACTCTAAGATAAAGACTGGCTAATGGATATATGTACCCACCAGCACAAAAAGACAGAGGATCTCAGGCCCTTCTCATTTCCCACTGGTTTGCTAGGAAGGTGCTTCCTTTCAGGAAGCTCAGTTCTTTCCCCTGGAGTTTTCAGGGACATGTTTCTTCAGCTGCAGACTTGCTGCAGGCCTCTCTCCATGTTTCTCCAGCAGCAGGCCTCTCAAGGCCTAAATAAAACACTTACCACATAGCGATTACTTTAAAAAAATATTTAACTGATTATTTCTAGCCATGTGGAGAATGATTCTATATGTTCTTGCCATTCAATGGGCATTACCATGTACCCTCCCCCCAGCTTTCACAAACAACTGACAATACTTCCCAGGGAAAGTGAGAAGAAAGCTTTTATGGCCATGATGCAATAAATGGTCAACTGTTCACACCCAGTGCAAGTCTATCATAAAAGAATAAAAACTAACAACCTGAACAGCAAAGGAAGTATTGTTTTAAATTATTCTACTGATACTAACACTTGCTTAAAAAGTCTGAAATAAATCAATCTGGTAAAATCACAGAGCTTCTCCATAAGTCCTTCAAATGCACTGCAGAGATTTAATTCATAAGGATATTATACGGACGAATGACATAAAAACTAAAAATGCTTCATACCCCAAAAAGAAGTTGTAAATTAAGCTGGGTGCATGGATGTTTACCATGTTTTTCGTTACAGTGCTGTCATTAAAACAATCAAGAGACACATTTCTTAGTCACAGCAGTTCACAAAACAGGTGGTAAGATCCTAAGCAGCACTGGGTAGAAAGCATCCTGAAGTTGGCAGGACTATGTACCTTCCATTTTCAAAGACTGTTCTTATACAAGGAAAATAACTAACTAGATCATTACCTGTTGCTTCTGGTATGCAGTATTAGGATTGATTTTGGACTCCAGAAGCAGAGAACCTGTAGAGAAGAAGAAATATTTTTTATCTTTTCCTATATATAAAATATTTTATATTCACTAAAAATGAAAGACTTTAGCATCCACCAAGTAGACAATATACCCATTTGACACATAATTCAGAGATTAATCATTGATCTGGATGAATGTGGCACCCAGATCTCTCTTCACTCAAACCTCAAGAAGTTTCTTTACAGTATTCTGTAGCATTCAAAATGTCACTGTTAATGGTTAAATGATCAACACCCTCTCCTAAGATAGTGTGTTTAGTTATGGCAGCTGCCTCAGTTCATAAGGATAAAGAAAGTTCAAAAGGTTGATTTAGAAACATGGAAAGATTTTCACTAGAGATTTAAAAACAGGTTTATGTTAGGGATACATTTATTATCTTCTATTATTCTATGAACAATAAAACAAACACAAATTCAAAACAGAATCCCACAAGAAATCTTTGAAAGTGACTGCTACTAAATATACTTAGGCCCCGGGCACACGGGCTGGACATCGCGGGGGGAGGTGTGGCTAATTGCCCCGGCGCAGTTTGATGCACGATTATGCAATCAGGCGCACCGGCGGCACAGCACGGGTCCTTCCCTCAGCGCCAGTGGGTAAACGAGGGACCGGAGGGGAATGCTGCGCTCCGGCGCGATCACACCACGGGCGTCTGGAGGCAGCCCGTGGCAATCGTTTACTAATACCTTGGAGGTACTAGTTTTTAAATCCGCATTGTCGGGGGGAAGCCACAGGTGCGCTCCACTTCCCAGATGTTGGAGTGTGATTGCGCCCAGATAATCCGCCCACCTTCCGTGCCTCTCCCGCGGCAACTTTGCCGTGTGACCGGGGCCAACATTGTGGAACTGGAGTAGGCTAAACAAATTGGTAACTTATTACTATAAGAAAAGGCAGCAGAATGTATGTGTGAGGATGGATGGATGGATAAAAGATAGATACACACAGAGAGACACACAAGATGATGAGATCCCATGGCACTGAAGAATGTATGTGACTACCCCAACCATGCAGTCGGTTGCATGGTTTCTTTCCACCTGAATGACACCATCCTGGAGGAGTGCCAGTTGGGTTGAAGAAAGCCATTTGATTAGCCATGTCCTCATTGTTGGAGCAGTCACATGCACTCTGCAGCAACAGCGACGAAGCCCCACAAATAGTAAGAGTGGTGTGGGTGGTTTCCTTGTAACAACAGGATTCAGGCCCTAAATGCCACAACTAACCTAAAGCCTTTGTCCCTAAAATCCATGTCCTCTTGGGAAAAAGAACTTAGAAGTTTAACATATGAAGCCCATGCCTTTCTTAACATAATCAGTTTCCCTAAAATTTGTACCAAGAAGTCTGGACTCTGAAGACCCTTAAAGTAACCTACAAAAATAAACTTCCCTATAGTTTTGAACTCCAACAAGTGGCCCTACCAACTCTGATAATGAGAAGCAGAGATTCTAAGAACTGTCAGTTTAATTATTCTAAATATATGGAATATACTAAATATACAGTGCACCTAGATCTCACACAAATTAGAACCGCAGCAGAACTTTATGCATGTTTACTCAAAAATAAATAAATAGGATTCAATTCACAGTAAATGTGGTTAGATCAGGCTGTAAATCTGAAATTGTATGCATGCCTACCTGGGAACATGTTCCATCGAATTTAGAGAAACTTAATTAAGTATAACATCAGGATATGGATGGGCTCAATTGGGTTTTCATATGGGAATTCATCACACAGACCCATTATTTTTTGTTAATGCGTCAATTTAGAAAAAGATCAACAATTTTTAGGCTACTACACAACAGAGCCCCTACAAATGAATGCTACAAACAGGAGATACAGATTAACCCTGACAAATAGCAGTTGTGTCACTAACTTTATCAGAACAATAACTCAAACCAGATCTTGAAGTTTAATTTGCAGTAATAAACACCACAATTTGCTGATTTCATGTGGAAGTTCCACAAAATATCTCTCTATAACAGGAGAAAAGGAGTTTTATAATGCAGCAGGGAAAAATGCGTGCAAACTTGTAATGGGACTATGTAGTTCATGTGTTTCAAAGACACCTATGCATTCCCTTCAGTGTGCAGAGCAACTGACAAGAACTGGAGGAAACTACACAGCTGCCTGACACGCCCCATCTGAGAAAACAAACAGATTAGTTTTATAGGGTAGAGTTTGCTGTCATTAAAATTAATGGAACTTCTGCAATGGTCTCCAGTGGGATGTGAGTAGAATCGCAAGCCATTCAAAAACAGTCTGTAGCAAACTGCTAATCTGACACATAGAAGAACTGGAAAATGCAAATGCATATATGTTTACGTCCTTGTCATCTCTATTTTTACACTAACTATACACACCCGATATGCAGTGCTATAAAATTCACATAACCAAGTTACAAGTTTAGCAGGTAAGTTACCAAATAAGGCTTTTATCATATTTTAAATGCAAAATATATTAATAAATACTATACTGTCTTCAGTCTGTTTATTACTTCTCTAACCCATGTTCAAAACAAAGGAGTACCTATGGAGTAATATGTTATTTGTAAAACAAAACTACAGGATCATATTGGTATGAATTTCGTCACGTATGTATAGCAATATGTCATATCACCAGACAGTGGGAATCTTCTGTCACTACTGCCAGCAACATATGGACAATAATCCTTTGTTGGTTTGAGAATCCCATATAAATTATGCAACACAGAAATTCTACCCCCACACGTAACCTCCACCACGCACCCTATAATGCAAATAGGAAGATTAATACTTTTGACCTACACATACACATATACTTACCATCACTCTCTGCCCTGACAAGCAGGGACATGCCCTTCAGCCTTTCCACATAGCCAGAGGACACATGTCCAGTGCCCCGATCGTCCCACTGTCGATCTTCATTCAGAGTATACACCTTCACCCTCCTCCGGGTATCAGTCATCCTGCCACTTGCCCTCACCACAAGGGCCTACAATACTTGCTTTAACTGAGGTGTGGGGGGGCTTGCCCCCCTCAATAAAAGAGAGCAGGAAAGATTTTAAGAGTCCCACAGAACACTCTAAAGAGTTATTTTTCTTTCTTTCTGTCTGTCTTTCTTTCTTTTTAAAATTGCCACTGCTAAAGTAGCTGCATCACCCTCAACAAGGGATAAAAACAAACCAGGAGTATGTTAGAGAATATGGGAGCACAGGGCTTCCTCTGCTAAGGAGTACTGAAAGCTTCACAGAGTGCGAGAGAACAGGAAGTAGCGATACTAGAGAGGAAAAAACAAGAGAGATGGGGGGGGGGGGGGGGGAGGTCAGTGTAAAAAAATGGGAAAGGGCAGCTAGAGACGGACCAGAAGAAGCAAAAAGCAGGGATGACGGAATTTGCAAGTGAAGCGGCACCAACTGTGTGCGTGTGGAAGATTCGGATTCGTGATGAACTGCCACAGCACAAACCAGGGGAGTCTGAAGAAGACGGGGAAATTCGGGAGCGGGAACGATTAGTCAGTCACACAGCGAATCCCCTCCCCACCAAGTGAATAGGAAGGAAAATCTGCGATGGAATCGGGGGAGAAACTTGGGCAGGGTGGGTGATAGGAAGAGACGGGGGCTGCGAAGGTAAAGGAGGGGATCGGGAGGGGGGGCCTGTGCCCGGCCCTATTGTGCAAGGAGTTGGCAGGCCCCCAAGCCCCCTTTCCCTAGCTGTCCGTTAGTCCGACTGGGGGACCGAGGCGGAGCCGCCCCTCTTCCCAGCGAAGGCCGCGGCCTAAAACCGGGGGTGGGTGGGGGAGCGGGAGAAGCGGCCGGCTTGCCCGGATGGGGGCGGAAAGGGAGGCCCTGCGAGGCGAGCGCGCAGGCGGGCTCAGCGCCTTGTCTTCCCCATGAGCTCCTCTCACAAGCCGCGGCGGCTGCACTCCCAGCTCGACTCCTCCGCCGTCGCCGCCATGTTCTTCCTGCTCCCGCTTCTCTCGTCACTGAGCTCCGCGCAAGCTTCTTGGCCCGCTTCTAGGCCCCCCCTTCCCCCGCTCTAGTCCAGGCACCCGGCAAGGCAGCGTGACCCCTCCGGCGGACGGGTTGCGTGGACGAGACGCTGCCCGTTGGTGTCCTTCCGTCTCAGGTTCAGTCACCGCACGGCCGCCATCTTGGTTTCACCTCTCACTGGAGGCGCGGGGTCTCCTAGCCAAAGGCGGCACGGGCCGGCCGCGAACATTTAAAGGGCCAGCAGCCTCGGCGACTATCGTCGCCCAGTTGGAGACGCGCACACGGGTGGGGGAGGGGCGCGCACCGAGCAGAACCGCTCATTCCTTGCCTCCCCCCCTCCCCGCTTTCTGGGTAGAAAAAGAAAATTAAAAATCTGTAGAACTTCTAGGAACGAAAAGTGACGTCTGAAGCAGAGTGGAATGAAAAGGAGATGTCATTCCTTGAAGCCACTCGACAGATGAGAGTTTGGGTATATGGGAGTGGTGGTGGTGGTGGGACTAGGTAGACTATTGGGTGAAGATCAGATATTTGTTTACTATTGGAAGAAGGAGAAGAAGAGATTGGATTTATACCCCGCCTTTCACTACCTGAAGGAGTCTCAGAGCAGCTTACAAACTCCTTTCCCTTCCCCTCTTCACAACAGACACCCTGTGAGGTAGGTGGGGCTGAGAGAGCTCTTTCGAGAACTGCTCATGAGAGAACAGTGCTGAAAGAACTTGTGACTAACCCAATGTCACACAAGCAGCTGCATGTGGAGGCGTGGGGGACTCAAACCCGGTTCTTCCAGATTAGAGTGCATTTCTAACCACTACACCAAGTGGGTTCCTAAGTGACCCGGAGTGGTGGTTTTGACACTAAATCCCCAACAAGGCTGGGAAAGATGTTTGAAGGGAGACCCAAAAGACATTTAAACAGTAACACTGGGAATAAAACTCTGTTCTACTGCTTCAGACCAGCACATCTTACCCACCTGAATCTAGTAACACAGGGAGACCTTCACACCACCACCACCCTTTCCTGCCTATCCTTCACCCTCTCTGGCTTAGCTGTCCTGTTTAAAGTGACAAGATGGGGGGAGCTGTTCTTCCCAGAAGCCTTAGTGTTAAATGTATTTTCTTATGTATGTGAGTCTACTTGGTACATTGTTTATCCCATCCTTCTAAGGAGCTTAGTTGTGCTCCTCCATAACTCCCTCACCACACAGAATAGCTCAGCTAGATTTGGATACGTTGCTGCTGGAGAAGTAAGCCTGTTTTGCCACAAGTACCACCATAGCACAGGCACAGATATGTTCTTGCCTATGTTTATGATTAGTCATGTTTGATCATGTATCTCCTTCCTCTTACAAGCAGCCTGCCCGCTTGCTTAATAATCCTTGCCTCCTTAGTAACAAAGAATCTGAGTGAGCTCAAGTCTTGTGGAAGAGGATATCTAAAAACCAAGACGGACATAACAGATCTTCCATCATCATCAGTCCACTACAAAAGAAACACTACACCACCAAACACTGACCCAGAACAGAATACTGTATTAAGTCTGCACATGTTGTCATGTTTTTCTTCTTCTTACCTTTGTATACAAATCATGTATGAAGCGCACCAAAGAATCATCAAGACTAGCATCTGTCACATACACGGCTGTGAGTTAAATTATGGCTGTGTGTGGAAAAAGAGGGGAAATGTAAACCCTTCAAACCCATTTCACATTCAGTTTTGATATTTCATGGCTCCCCATGCTGTTATTTAGAAGTTTTAAGGAGAGGGCAAGAACGTAACAGTACTGTCTATTTTCCCTTTAAAAAGCTAGCTGCCGTGCAGGAAGCCAGGCTTTGATTAGTGAAACTGAACAGGTGTTGAAGGGTTAAATTATTTTTCCTTTCCATGTGACCCTGATACGTGTGTATGTGTGCACAATTTATATTTTATAGAGTAACAACAATCCATTATCTTCCCCCTTTTTGTTCTAGCCCTCAGAGTTGTGTCAGCCACTCAAGTCATCTCCCAAAACCATGTCAGCAGAAAACTCCCAGAAGGCCCTCGGGAATCCTGGCTCCAATAGCTTCTGGGGGATGGACTTATTGCAATGGGTTGCTCATCCTTGAAGAAGTTACAAACCACTGCAACTGTAATGGTCAGTCTATTACAAGGGAAATACTGCACCACCAAACTCTGTCATTTCCCCCCCTTACCTTTGTATACAGATCATGTTTGAAGAGCCCAAAGAATCACCAAGACTAGCATCTGCAATATTCAGCACTGCAGGCTTCACCCGCTTCTACCACAAGCCCAGTTTTGGATTTTCTGGGATCAAGAGGCTAAAAAAAGTAAAGGTAAAGGTTCCCTTGCTCGAAAGCCAGTCGAATCCAACTCTAGGGTTGCGGTGCTCATCTCCGTTTCAAAGCCGAAGAGCCAGCACTGTCCGAAGACATTTCCCATCAAGAGGCTACAGGCTGTCAAAATAAAACAAGAATCCAGAGCCCCCTTAAAGATGAACAAGAATTATCCCAGTATAAGCTTTTGTGAGTTGGATCTCACTTTCCTCATATGCATATGGAGGACAAAATCATTGTACAAATACCTTTAAATCCAAAAGGCATATCCCTGAGTTATGGTGGTGTCTCCTAAGATATTCCCTCTGCCAGTCCTGCTGGCATAGTGCTATTGCTGCACCAGTGTAACTGCTATGCCAGTGCAGCAGTAGGAGGCCTCAGAAGTGTGCCATGGGCAGAGCTGGACTAAGTTGGCTCACCTGAGACTCTCCAGTCCCAGGCATGCCCCAATGCCGGCATAAAGTTACATCACTGAAAACTCTGGCATAGCCCATACAGGCACATGCAGGGAGAAGGCTAAAGAGGTATTCTTCACACTTATCTCCTTTGCTGCCCCAAAGCACCAGCACAGCCTAGGATCCTGACTAAGTTGATAGCCAGGCCAGCTGTATCACTCCCACAGTGGCCAATCACAATCTCTACCCCCCAGCACTACACAAATCCCAAAGGGCACGTGGCATGGGATTCTTTTGCTCGAAGCCCATGCAGGGAACATATAGGGCCCTTGCACTTTGGGGGTGGAAATGACAGCTAAAGAGGCACCACAGCTGCAGCACTTAGTGCAGGCAGCTAGGGGACAAATACTGTGGCTGCATTTTACTGTTACTGCTCAGCTCAGAACACTTACAGGTACTCTGTCCCAGGACACAGACACCAAAGGGGAGACTCCATTCCCCTAATGGGAGGCCACATAGGTATGCAAAGGTGGGGGGATTTTGGCTTTGAACCAGGACTTCTGCAACTATCTCCCCATGTGTTTCACCCTGATAATCCCGACTGCGACAACTGTGGGAGTATGTATGGAGAGTGTGTAGAGTGCTGAAGGGGGGATCTCACAGTTGTTAATTCACTCTTTCTAGCCCTGCTCCTGCACCATAGTGAGCTCTTCAGCCAGCACATTCATCCCTCTCCTAGACATGCAGTGATTGTGGCAGCTCTACCTGTTGCTCCATAGTCTGTCACTGCAGCTTGCAAAACCCCAAGAGCCTTATTTGAATGAGCGAGCTAGCAACCCCATTTATCTGATTAGATTCAGTTTTCTTGAAGCTGTTCAATAAATGTCTGGATTCCTCTACAGTTGTGCCTCTGTTGAAACTGAGTTTTGAGGTTTGGTTCCCGCCCCTTGCTCATTCTTAACTTCAGCAGTGTTCAACACGCAGGTCACACTGGTTGACTGCTGGGATCTGATCCGCCATGCAGCTTGCCTAAGGGATGTGGGTGAGTAGGGATGCTTGGAGGGCAAAGATTGTTGGGGAAATGGGAGTATGCCCGAATGAGATCCATGAGCGTGGGAGCAAAATGATCTGTAAGGGGTTCATTGGCCAAAATGAGGGACATGTGGGGCAATCAGCAAGGGCAGCCCCATCCCCCATGATGCTGAGGTGACAAAACGTCAGCTGTGTCCATTGGACTGCCTCTTGGCTCTCCCTTGGCCATACTATCCTTGTCCATTTCTGCTGGAGCACTCTCTGGAGAAGACCCTGATGCTGGGAAAGATTGAAGGTCAAAGAAGACGGGGACGGCAAAGGATGAGATGGTTAGACAGTGTCGTCGATGCAACGAACATGAAATTGAGCAAACTTCAGAGGACGGTGGAAGACAGGAGGGCCTGGCGGGATCTGGTCCATGGGGTCACGAAGAGTCGGACTCGACTGTGCGACTGAACAACAACAAGACTGTCTTTGGAGTACCATTTGGCTCATGTTGAGGTTAGCTGCTGGGGAATGCATAATGCTCTATGTAGATTGTAGA